ATATAAATTTTTCTTTCTCGTAATTTGATTTCTTTGGATTTTATTTTTGAAAAAATAAATAAATAAAAATATTGTGTTATTTCATAAGAAAAGTAGCACAACTGTTGCTTTTTTCCTTTGTTCATTAAAAAGATTTAATTTCAGCTGCTGCTTCATGCATAATTTATTCCCTAATCCATTTTATTGCATATTTTCCTACTTTTAATTAATAGCATTCTTTACATTGCTTAATATTTATATAATGAGTTAACTTTATGGATGGTTCGGAGATCCGGATTTATGAGTTATATTCTGCAAGCATCATAAACCTCTTTACATATGTGATTTGGAGAGGGTGGGAAAATTTGTGAAAGTTTTTCTCTTCTGATGTGTATAAAAAGAATTTAAAAGGAAACAAATCCTGTTGAAAATAGTAAATATTATTAACAAGTAGACAATTGGGAATGGTTTTGTATTTTAGATAAAGCATGGATAATTGTAACTGCATTAGTATTTTTGTAAAACTGGAGCACATAAAATCTTCTGATACAAAAGTTTTCTCAAGAGCTTTGTGATAATACACTGAAAGCTGTATCAGATTTGATCGTTATGAATTGCATACATGTGAGTGAAAAATAATCTGTATTGCAGTTACATATTTCTTAAAATCATTTTGAATTATTTACTGTTTCCCATTTTTAACATTTAAATCAAAATTATAAATAGAATATGTAATTGTATGTGCATCATTTATAAAAATGTAAAATCACACGAGGGAAAAAAAAATTCCTTAAGCTAAATTGGTAGGGGTTGAATATAATAACTCATGATGTACCACATGTTATATACATTTTAATTATATTCCTCACTTATTAATTATCTACACATCAATGATGTTTAAAATATTAATAATTATATTTTGTTGATCACATAGTTTTCGCTTTTTAAAAAAAAAAACTTAATTATTGTAATAGACATTTATATAATGAAAGGTTTTCTTAAAAGAAAAGTGCTAAAGTTTCCTTCCTTCACTCTAATTTAAAAAGATTTGTGTAACTCTAAAATGCTGATTTGTTCCCTTCCTATTTTTTTTTTTTTTTTTAATTACAACTTTTTTTTACACGATTGTGTGCAGGTTATGTGATATTTTTAAAAGATTGTAGAGACATTAGAATTATTTTGGATGCAGGCAAGATGAAAAATGAGCAATCGCCTTCGCTGGGAATCGAACCTCGAATACCGGCCCAGCGTGCAGAACCACTAGACCACGAAGGCACACTAGGAAGGCGCGGGAGAAATACCTTATAAGTTATATTTCTTAAGAAGTTGGACTGGATTATTTGAGTCATGCAAAGCACAAAAATTCTGTTCACCTAAATCAAGCGGAACCTAGATCCTCAAGTGATAGAAAAACAATGCAATGCAAAGAGATAAGTGTTACTAAATAGGTAAATAATAAATTAAAATATAAAAATTAAATAAAGCAACAAAAAATTGAAACTAAATCTCTAAGAAATCATGATTTAGGTAATATAAAATTTAAATGATAAAAAGAATGAAGAATAAATTAATAAAACATTATAAATATTATAAAACTTAAATGAATGAAAGAAAGTAGTAGCAACAAAATATATTACTGAGCATAAAAAAAGAGGTAACTATTTTCAACAACATTTTTTTCAGCTAAAACGGAATCTTAATTTTAGTTTCTGCTATATTAAAGGCCATCTTGACATTATGGGCACTTTCTTAACTAGATGGGTACTTCTACCAAAAATTATTTTTTGTGACGGGATCCAATTTGGTTATGGAGATTTACATCTTCAGCTGTTCAAATGTTTGCCATATATTTTGGTTTTTCAAAGGAAACTAATGCATGCATACAGGCTACTATTAGTGCAAATTTTACTATAACATGTTGCATTCATAACAAAATTTTTACGAATAACATGACTCATTTATGGATTTAAAAAAAATATTGGTATTCTTCTGCTATCGGAACCAGATTAAAAAATGCATGCATGTATGACCTGGTGTATCTATATGCATATATATGTGTGTGCATATATATGTGTGTACACACATATATATGCATATACATACATACAAATACACACATATACATACATCAGTACATATATACCATGCATACGTGATCACATATATCCATCCATACATTCATACATTTTTCTGAATCCATTCCCGATTAACAGAAGAGTACCAAAATATTATAAGCTTGTAGGATTCCTCACAGTGTAATGCTGAGTTACTGTTGAGCGTGAAGAATCTTAAGAACTGATAAGCGAATAATCGCTTGAGTTCGTGACGGTAACAGCCGAAAACATCGCGGCAAAAACATCGCGGACGAAAACGTTCGTCCCAACATCATTGTTGGGAGAAAACATCGCAGTTCTAAAACATCGTGGTAGAAAACATCGTCGTCGAAAATAAAGCGGTTCAAAAACTTCGCAGTTTAAAAACATCGCCGTCGAAAATATCGTGGTAAAAAATAAAGTATCTACAAATCATCGCATGACGATAACATCGCAGACATGCTTTTTTCAGGCTTTAATAACTGTAATTGGATATTCCCATAATGATTTGTGAGCGCAAGTGATGTAAGGACGGATAATTTTTACTTTCACATATTTTTATTAACTAATAAATTTTTGCTGAAAAAATAAGAAGGAAACTTAAGCATAGAAAATTAAATGCAACTTAATAGATTATACTTTTTATGAAAAATTACCTGTAAAATCTTTATAAAAAATGATTTATTAATGGTCTTTGTTAGATTACTATGTCGATTTAAAATTCTATTAAGTGCTATAAGTTGCATTAATTTCTATGCTTAAGTTTTCTTCTTATTTTCTCAGCAAAAATTTATATTTAATAAAAAAATATGAAAGTAAAAATTATCCTTCTATACATCTTGCGCTCACAAATCATTATGGGACTATCCATTTACTTTATTAAAGCCTGAAAAAAAAAGCATGTCTGCGATGTTATCGTCATGCGATGATTTGTAGATACTTTATTTTTTACCACGATATTTTCGACGACGATGTTTTTAAACTGCGAAGTTTTTGGACCGCTTTATTTTCGACGACGATGTTTTGTACCACGATGTTTTAGAACTGCGATGTTTTCTCTTTGCGATGTTTTCTCCCACGATGTTTTGTAGCACGAAGTTTTCGCCTTGCGTTGTCTTCTCCGCGACGTTTTTGCCGCGATGTCATCGGCGGACACCCGTGTGACAGGAAACAATATGATAGAAGGGTAAACTAGCCCTTTATCATTCCAACTAAAGTTTAACAACCTCCGTCTTGGAGTGTATAATAAAGCTGACACTTGGGCTTTGAACTTAAGAGACTAAGAATAATACTAAACTAATCTTAACTAAAGGAGATATAGCCGAAACTATCAAGGACCTAAAGTACGGCCGAGCGTAATAATAGCTTACGAGAGAGTAGCCTAGAAAGGCGGACGCGTGCAGACAGAATACCTGGTAACTCTCTAACTAAGACCGAAGAACATCGCGGTTAAATACCGCTCTTCCTCATTATGTATTTAGACGTGATTCTAAAACTACGTTCTGGCCGGAAGTAGTAAGTTGAAGTTAAGAATCGACAGGAAAGGAACTTTAACTCAAAATTTAACTTTTAATAAAATTAACATAATCCTTACAAGCTCTAAAGAAAGAAAGATGAACACTAACTGGAATTATGATTTCACTGAAAACTGAGAGGTATAGAGTTCTGGTTGGCTCCAATTTTAAATGTTACGTGTTCCTATAGACAGCACAGTTCTATTAATGCAAATGAATGCCATATGTGAAAAATGATACTGCAGTCTCCAGTAAATTACGAGACTTTCTTGGATCACCCATAAGATGACAAACTGTAAATTACAGTTCATATCCTAACACCAGTTTAAACATAATTTTTTGTTCTTATTCAGAAAATACAGTTAAATAAACTATATGTGAACATAAAATTATTGTGAGATTTATTGCTGAATGATTTTAAACAAATAAAGAAATTCAGCCCAATTTTACTGCAGTTTTCTGTTGTTGCTGAAAGTTCCATTGCTAGTAATTAGCAATAACAACAGTTACTTCATATAGGTGGAATACGTTGTGACAAAAATTTTCTTTTACGTGGCAGTACATTAAACAGCTTTACTAGCAGCTCTGGAACATGAGTATGACGTTAATTTCTAAATCGATAAATGTAAACTTTGAAGTTTAATATGAGGTTTTTCCCAATTTATATTTTTACGTTAACTGTATAATCAGTTATTACGTTTTCTCTTTGTTACGTTATTTTCATGAAATTGTAATGGATATCCATGAAAATTAATAATGTTACATTAATGCAGTTTTGCATTGAGTATATTTTACTGTTATCATTCATAAAGGTTCTACGAGTAGCACTACAATTTTGAAATTAAATCGGCATCTTGGGGGCTCAATTTTAACATTAAATTGTTAACTGAAATAAACAGGCTATGCATTTTGATACCATGACGTAATTTTTGTGGCAAAGACCTTGAAAAACTAATTTATACATTCATTCGAAATAAAAATCCCTAGTTACAATCCCATGTTATGATTATATTTATGATTTTAGCCATTATTCCCTCTCTCTCTCTATGTATATATATCACGTTATTAATATTATATCTTATTACATTTTTATTAATATTTATACTAATTCAATATCTTTTACTTATGATGCATGAATGTACCAGATACAAAGGTGCATTTTGTCTTTCGAATGTTTTTCTTTTCTCAATAACAATATTCGAAATATGATTTGGTTTAGAATCGGCAGATTTTTGGACGACAAAGAGTCATTCGTAACCATTAAAAATTAAACATGCTAATTAACAGTTCCACTTTTGGTCGGAACTAAAATTGAGCAGAACAATGCCAAATTGGCGAAAAACGTCGCCAATCTGGAGTAATTTCAGTAGCAGGGTTCATAGAAGCGGCGGATCATACTGCGCATGCTCGCCGCATCGTGATCTGCTCCACACCGTTTCTCCACATCGAGAAGCTTATAAATAATCGCTCCAACTGTCTAATTCGTTATATCTTAGCGGTGTGGGCATTTTTATATTTTGCCAGTTATTACTGAATATGTCTGCCCCTCCGCGCACCGACCAGGAGAAGCGCCGGCAGATCTCCGTAAAAGAGATTGCCCTCGCCGAAAACGTCCTGAACGTTAAAAGAACTTTCAATCGCCACCTCCACTACACTCTGGTCAAGGATCGGAATGTTGCTACACCCCGAGATTATTACTGTGCTCTCGCTCATACGGTCAAAGATAATCTTGTCAGCCGATGGATTCGAACTCAGCAGCATTATTACGAGACCGACCCTAAGGTAGGTTGGCCTAGTTCAGCATATCTTACCACTCTTGTTATCTAATTTGTACTTCATAAATACAACAGCTGATAAGATACTTAAATACTGTTATTTCAGCAGATCATATCTCGATGGGGTTTTTCCTGTTACCTTCAATATAAATTCTAATCCAATTTTTTGGAGTATCTGGGCGTTAAATGTAGAATTACCATATTTTACCGGACTGGCTACATTTTTGTGGTTTTTCCCATGTGTAACAGGAATACGAGCTAGTTTCCCTTAGAAAATTCCCCGTGAAGATATCCCTCCTCTTAAGCAGATAGCCCTCGAGTGCTTTGCCATAGTTAAATAAGGAATATTTTTCAAAGGAAAATGTAGACACGATGTCAAAAAAAAAAAAAAAAAAAAAAAAAAAAAAAAAAAATTTCGGATTAGTTAGATAATACCATAAAGCATTCGAGGGATAGGTGTCAAATGGAAGGGATGCCTTCGTGGATAACTTTTCAAGAGAAACTTGCTGTTATTCACGATATACACAGGAAAAACCACGGAAACTTCTGTGCACCCAATTGCCGGGATTTCGAGTCGCAATACCAGTGTTCAGCAATTTTACCGCTCGGCTACGAAGGATAAAAGAGAAAGCTGCATCAGGAGTACGAAAAATAATTGTTTTTTTTTTTTTTTTTATCAAAACATACAATTACTTCATTCGATAAATTTAAACAGTTCGTTGTATTTCAAAGAATACAATAAATTGGTGTTTCAAAAAGTTTCCGATTGGTTTGAGAGAAAATTATGAAAGAAACTTAGGTTTCAGTACATAGCAAAGCGAACAAAATTTTTGCAGAATAAGTAGCAGACTTAAAAATGCGCGAAGTGACAATATATTTTTTTATATACGTACTCAACAACCCCAAACGGGTAAACTTTTTTTAGCGTTTCTGACTTTACTGTAAAGATTACTTTAGGTTATTTGAATTTGTCCCTAAGACGAGGTATGCCTTCGTGGAGAACTTTTTAAGGGAAAGAAGGGAACGTTTTAATGTTAACATCGGAAAACACGAAAACCAAACATGCAGCCAACGCATTCTCCTGGGATTGAATCCGAGCCAGGTCGAACTACCACTATTTAGCGGTCTTAATAGCTCGCCCATTGGTGAGACCTTTATTGTAAAAAGATGTAAAAATATCTATATCAGTGACTCTCAACTTTTTCTCCCATACACCACTGCTAGACGATCATTCCCCCTTCTTTTTAAAATTCTAAACATACATATACATCAATTTAAGTTTAGATTATTTTTAATGAGTTTTATAAATTAACTAAGAAAAAATTTAGAAAACGTTGACAAAGTTATAAAATGAATACTTAACAGGTAAATAAAAATGCTGAACCGCATTCGTCGTTGAAACTGTGAAATTTCCCCCCTGGTTGAGAACCCCTAGTTTATATAAACAATGAAATCAGTATAAATAACAAAAAGAAAGGCAAGACCAACTAAGCTGTGAAAAGTATGAGCATAGCATCCAAAACTGTGCTTCTATTCATCGTAAATGTTGTTACCTCAATTCTTGTTGAAATTTTACATGAATGTTGGTCCATCTTTTTTCAAATTCTTCAAAATGTGTATTTATGTTATTTGAACAAACTATACAATTTTATTTTAACGTTTTAATGATTTTAGTAACATGATGGATTGAAATATCTGCTGCTTTCCGTCAATAATTCTTATACTCGTAAATTTTAGTCGTAAAATTAAGAACAGGTGTTCTTGTAAGAACACGTGCAAATTTTATAATCAGTCTCTTGTAAACATGCACAACTGTAAGACACATTTGGCAATATTTAATTATTTTTGTGCTTTATTAATTACAGAATTACATAACTATATTAAATATAAAAATGCAGACTTTAATTTTATATAAACATGGCAGGGACACAGATTAGATATTTAATATACAAACTGGGCGTACTAAATCGTGACTAAATACGGACATACGGATAGCATTACCAGTTAGTTAATATACGTATTAGTAAGTTATTATACGTAATAATAATTGTTATTATGCTAGTGCTGTAACACTACTATAAAACAGTAATCAAAATAGGTAGTTATTGTAATAGCAATTAAGATAACATTACTGCGTCCAGATTTTGATTGCCGTGCCTTATGGTTTACGAAAGGGTTTTTGAGTTTTCCTAATGTGTAATGTAAATATTAACCGTTTCCACTGGCAAATATAATAGATAATAATTGATATTAAATATAATAGATAATAGTTGAGATAATTATTGTTTACTTAGCAATATCAGTTATCAGTTATCAAGCAAAATTTCAAGTGTTTCCCTGTTATTGAACTCGACAGCAAAATTTAATCTCAAGTTTTTCTTCTATGGCCAACAGGTGAGTCACTTATAATTCTGTTAAGGAAAAAGGCTTTGAATAAAATGCAGAATAACACTCGAATAATTATATATGTTTGAATTCATACCAACAAACACAGTTCTAGTAAAAATTACTTTTCCTTGAAGAAAATAAACGAACTGATTCTCAAGGAAATGATAAAAATAGTCACACAAATGGGAAAAACATTTTAAGAATCGAAATTGAAAGTCTAACAAATGGAAATATCCTTCTCTAAATTTACTAGGAAATATCCTTCTCTAAATTTACTTTCATTCTATCTCATTAAAAAAACTGCCCATTAACGGCCGAACAGTAAAAAGTCGCTGAACACTGATAATTCGGTCCGAAGTTCGAACCGCGCAAACGAGCTGGCTGCATGGACATTTCCGTGGTTTTCCCAATGTGTAACGCCTATACGAGCTAGTTTTCCTTCGAAAGTACTCCACGAAGACATCCCTTCCCTTAGGCAGATAGCCTTAGTGGGCTTTGCCGTAGCTAAATAAATCAAACCATTAAAAAGGATACCTGCTAATATGGGGCATCAGAAAGTTTCAGTGAAAAACAGAAATATAATACTTAGGTCTTAATTTCATGTTTCAGACAACTTATTTTCTCAATTAGTTTTGTTTTTATATATTTAGCCAGTAATATTAAAATATATTTGTTGTACTCTTTTTGCTTGTAAATAATAATAATAATCGCTCTGTATTTCATCAAATTTAACATGTAGGTTTATGAGAGCAAGCTTTTTACTATGTGCTTGTCTACCACTTAATGCAGATACGCAGCAAATCTTTGATTATAATGTTGACTAGAATTAATGGTGCCTATAATATATCTGTGTTTAGATCTTACTCATTCTTTTAGCGTGCCGCCCAGACGGTATAGTGGTTAGGGATGCCTTATTGCGATACCAAAAAGCTCGGGTTCGAATATTATCGCATGCCCCCTTGCGTGCTCACGTGTTGTTAATGGATAGCACATCGAGATAACAAAATAGAAGATCTTTGCTTTAAATCCCGACAAGAACACAATCGATTTCTCATGTTTCCTGGCCTCGAACTCAGATATCATGGACGATAAATTGTCAGCAATTGGATTTGGCTGATTGGATCTCCTGCCTATCCCTACACGCGTGGGAAAATGTAAGGATTTATCGCATTTCCCCGTGCGTGCAATCGTGATGTAAGTGGTTAAGGCATCCAATGAACAAACTGGTCGAATCAAAGTTTGGATTCCCTCGAAGCAAACTGATTTATTCCGGCGAAGCAAACTGATTTCTGATATTTCTTACTGCCGAAAATGTATATAAAGTCAAATATGCAAATAGATAGCAAAAATTTGCTCTGATATCTTACTTCTATAGCAAAAAAACAAAAAATTTTTGCTCTGCTATCTTGTATCCATTTGTTTAACCCCTCTTATTTTGAAGAATTATCGTGTTTATAAACTAAATAGACGTCTAGATAAACTGCAATCGCAGAAACAAGAGGTAAAGTTTAATTAAAAGGCGTAAGTGAAAATTTTAGACTTAAAATGTAAAAATGGCTAGCGACATCTAGTATCCTCAACGAGTATAAATTAACTAGACGTCAATAAATTGTGTGAGGGATTATCGTGAAGGACGATAAATTCCCGAGAAAGTCTGTAAATAACCGTTGTTTTTGTTAAATATAGCACAAGTTTCAATGGGCATTAATATATAGGGAAATAATATTATAACTATTTATTTCCTATTAGTTGGGGCCCACCAGCAGCCAAGATATAATTTCGCTGAACACTGGTAGTTCGGTCCGAGGTTCGAATCCCGCGAACCGGCTGGCTGTATTGGCCTTTTCTTGGTTTTCCCTACGTGTAACATATATTCGAGTCAGTTTCCCTTAGGAAGTCCTCCACGAAGGCATCTCTCCCCTTAGACAGATTGCCCTCCATGCTTTGCCGTAATCATATAAACCAAACCAAAACTCGTGCTTGCAAAGTCTAACACTTTTGTCTTAACTCAAAATGTAACAAGTAACTTAAAATAGAATAGAATTAATTTTCACGGGTTACTTAACGAGCAGGTAGGCTCTGGCTCGTAAATGTCGGCGTAAACAAGTCCAATGGCTAGAAGCGCTCAACGCCACAGAAATCTAATTACTAGTAAATCAAAGCTATCAACGTAGCCTTCAGGCAAACAGAACACGCTCTCTCTCTCTCTAAATTCACCTTCCAAAACCTTCCTTTAACCTCATTTGAATACACGCGCGCTACTTCATTTACATTCTGACAAGAAAGCGCGGGTTGAAAGCGAGTGTAATAGAAAAATTGCTTCAAAATAAAATTAACTGTTAAATAACTTAAGTAAATCTTCACAGGCTTAAAAAGCCATCTTATAGCACAACTAAAAAATAACATTTGCGCGCTAAAAATTGTCATTGCTGCTTACAAAGTTTCAGGAATTCGAGTACTTAAATCAGGAAACTAAACGAACAAGATAAAAATTTCCGAGCGTAGTAACAGCTTAAGAGTAGCCTAAAAAGGCAGACGCGTGCTAGTTAGAATCCCTGGTTCTCTCTAAGACAGTAGAACTTCGTGGTTAAATACTACTCCTCAAATTTGCAGCCAAACGTGATTCTAAAAATACGTTCTGGCCAGAAGTTGTAAGTTGAAATTAAGAAACGATAGGAAAGGTAAATGTTAGAAAAATGAACATAATCCTTACAAATCTGTTAACTTCTAAGTAATTTAACTAATTGAGCCTGTATTTGTGCGATCCCAGTATTAAGCAATAAATGTAAACACAGGTCGTAACCAATGGGTACTTTAATTGTTTTATTTCAACGACCTTGTGCCTTTTCTCCTAATTTAATCCAGTCTGCATACTTTTGGAAAAGTAAATGCCAGAAGAATGAATTGAAAAGACAAAGTAAAGGTGAATGAAAGGAAAAAGTAAAATAAAAACTAAATTATTAATTTAAATTTAAAATTAAACAATAATTTTTTTTTGGATTCTCAGCTCTGTGCTTTTGAGTAAGTGGTTAGCACAACCAACCATAATCTGCTACTTTAAAATAAACACGTCAAGGTGGTAGCGACGCTCGTCATTTACGATCGTGACGTATGCCATCATCATCGCACAGAAGAATTAGGGATTTTTAGCAAATTATAGGGTTCGTTCTTTTTTCTAATCGATCATTACCATAATTTAGAAGAATGGTTTCAGGGAAAGAAATGTTTTGAAGTGCCTATGTTAAACTTACTGATTAAAGTAATTGGAAGATTTATGGTTCGATTATCCGCAAGAGTACAGTTAATTTTTCACACTTCCTGTTTCTAAAAATCTAATAATAATAAAATAACAAGACCTAATAAACTGTAGTAGCTCCCAAACTAAAAATAATGGGAATTATTATCCGTCACAGATTTTTTCAATATTTTTCACCACCAGTCGCCTTATAAATGAGGGAAAATGCAAGGAATGTTGATTTCCCCATGCTTTCTCTTATTGTGTAAGTGGTTAGCATATCCAGCTAATTAGAAAATACATGGTTCTGTAGAGACATTAGGTTAATTGGAAAAGCCGGAGAGATGAAAAATTAGCAACGCCTTCGAATCGAACCACAGGCCTCTGGAATACCGGCCCAGCGTGCAGAACCACTACACCACGAAGGCACGCTAGGAAAGAGGGAGAAATACCTTGTATACTTCCCCCTTTTAAAGAGGCTTCTTGGGTTTTTAGGGAACCCAATTGCCAAATCCTGGGTGTGGAGAATCCTCATCCAACACCCTTTTAGTTCGGGCGCCACTGTAGAGACATTAGGTATTTTTTGGAAGCAGGCAAGATGAAAAATGAGCAATCGCCTTCGCCGGGAATCGAACCGCGGACCTCTAGAATACCGGCCCAGCATGCAGAACCGCTACACCACGAAGGCACTTTAGGAAAGCGGGAGAAATACATTATAGATCAAATTTCGGAGAAAGCATACTTGTTCTTCACGTATCCTGCCTTTAAAAAAAAAATTTTTTTTTTCCCACAAAAGCACAGTGGTAAAATAGGAAAAAAATTACTATTTTATTTTTAATAAAATAATTCTTTCTGTCTCATAATATGTGCTAAAATGGATATCAAAAGGATTTTGTCTCTTTCAGAGGGTGTACTACCTTTCACTGGAATATTTGGTTGGAAGGTCGTTGACGAATACGATGATAAACTTGGGAATACAAAGCACCTGCGACGAAGCTCTCTATCAGGTATTCATTGTTCGATATTTTTGATACTATGTAAATTACTATCACTAGTCGTGTACACAACACAAGACCTGTTGCTTTGGTGTATTAGGAAAAAGCAATATATATTTGTACAACAAACTGCGTAAATGATCTGAAATAAGTAAAACTCTTATATTGAGCTTTCAAGAATTTGTTGTATTAAATACTGAGTTAGACTTTGGATTAAAATTGTATAGACATTCACAACTTTAACTTTGCTTAAATAAGGGAACATTTCTAGAGACCGACTTAAATTAAAACATTACCTTCAGTGAATAAGAAAAAATTAAGAAAATTTAGTTCCAGGTTTACAACAGCTCAAACATAAACATTATTAATACTTTTTTTATTTAATAAACTAAGGCACAGTATAGAAAGACAGCAGTATCATGTTGAGATTTAATATAAAAATTTTCAAACTGAATGTATTAGAGACTTCTATGCCAAGTTCCGTTAATTTATTCATTAAAAATATATCGACTTAACCCTTTCGGCCATGCTTGTGGCGTTTCGCATCTTCATATGTGGGGGGTCTGTTTTATACGTAGAGAAACTGTTTTACTATTCACCGCCAGAAATCTCATCTGACAGCTTGTCCGCGTAGGTTTTCCCACCAATCCTGCGGATAATATTGTTTGTGGAACTATCTGGAAGTAGTAGTACCCTAGTAGGAAGTTATTAATGTTTCAAGGGGAGGTTAGTTCTCAATCAGTACCTATAAACAATGTTTTGTAGAATTTTTTTCGAACGTCTTAAAATTGTCTAGGCCGAAAAGGTTAACAGACGTTGCACTATTCTGGGTTTCAAGATAATTTGATTCGACGATTTTCAGTTGTGTATTTATGTTTTAAATTACGTCCAAAGGGGTTTTTTTTAACGTTTTGTGTGTTAAATTTATTTATTTAATATTATGTTCTAAGTATCCAAACAATAAAATTCAGTTCAACATCAATATCGCAAAATAAATTTAAAATGAAGATACCTTTAGAATTTCTGATACTGAGTCTCCTACGCTGGAGATAAAAATGGTTTTTCCTGTACAGTGTTGCCATTGCTCGTTTTGAAATCGTCGAGTTTGTTAATCAAAAATTTGTTGAATTGCTACAAAATATGAAATCGATAATAAAACAAATTTCAAATTCAAATTAGGGCTTCCACATGCTTATATTCTATGCAGATTACATTAATATAATTTTGATGGCTCTAGGTACCGTTGTTTTATCACAATGTGAGAAATATACATACATATACATACATTCATGCAAATTATTCATTATTTAATTTCTTTAAATATAATACAGGGCCCTAATATATGGTGGCAACATTTGAAAAGCGATTCGCCGTTTTTAGTTTTCAACGTAAAATTCCAAAACAAAATTAATAGTCCTTCAAAACAAATTGTCCATTTGGACTAAAAACAAACCACGACCTCCTTTTTTGTACTGTGATATTTTCTATACTCTCAGCTTCGGAAGCATTACAAATGGCCTACATAATTAAATTTCGATAAATCGGTGTTTATGGGAATTGCTTGTAAAATAAATGCAGAATTTGTCCCTAGTTCCTCTCAAACAAAATTTCCAATTATCAAATAAAAGGAATTAAATTGTGACACTTTGTTACTTCTCTCAATGAGCAATATCTAACTAAAAAACATTCAGATCCGTTATTCTAAAATCTAACATACGAGATATAAAAAAAAGATATCCCTCTGAAAGCAAGTTGTTAAAAAAATAGCACAAAGCTATCTTCCTACACTTAGACATTATTAAGAGTAAATCAACATGTATTTAGTATCGAAAGAAATGAGTGTTAGCATTTCTTACAATTCTCTAATTAATAATTGAATAATTCCTAGCTCGGTCTGGATACGGAGGAATTAGAAGACATAGAAGAAGATGCCGGATTGGGCAATGGTGGTCTGGGGCGATTGGCTGCTTGTTTCCTGGATAGTATGGCTACCTTGGGACTGGCTGCCTATGGTTATGGAATCCGATATGAATATGGAATATTCTCTCAGAGAATAAAAAATTGTGAACAGGTTCGTGAATGCAATGCTTTTTCTACTTTTTTCTATGCATTTGTAAAAAGGAACAACATAAGAAATATATTTTAGATTATAATAATTACTTTTTAGTTAATATAAATACCTTTTAGATTATAATAATTATTAATATAATCTAAAATAATAATTATTATAATCTAAAAAGCATTATTCTTAAATATAATTAATTCACTTTTGTAACTGTGCTTGTTAGCCGCAAAGAGTTTTGGTGTATTCCTTTCAAGCCAAGCCATTATATTGGGCATTAAAAAAGTATAAAGTTTTCCTTACACACACACGAATGTTTAATGCTTGCCTTGCTAGTCACGCGATATAAATTTAAGTGCTAAACATACTCGGTTAATATCTTTGTAAGGATTATGTTAATTTTATTAACAGTTAAATTTTGAATTAAATTTCCTTTCCTATCGATTCTTAACTTCAACTTACTACTTCTGGCCAGAATTTAGTTTTAGAATCACGTCTGAATACATAACGAGGAGGAGCTGGTATTTAAATCGCGAAGTTCTTCAATTCTTAGGTCAAGCCAGAAGAGATTACCAGGTATTCTGTCTGCACGCGTCCGCCTTTTTTTAGGCTACTCTCTCGTAAGCTATAACCACGCTCGGCCGTATTTTAGGCCCTTGATAGCTTCGCAGTCAATTAGCGTCAAGGGGCCAACTCGGTTAGAATCTTGATAGCTTCGGCTATACCTCTTTAGTTTAGATTAGTTTAGTATTATTCTTAGTCTCTTAAGTTTAGTATTATTCTTAGTCTTCTTAGTCTCTTAAGTGAATTTAATGAGTAATCCTCTATTTTGATACTTCTGCAACTATCAGTCAAATTTCGTTTACAAAATATGAATGTTCGTTATATGCTTGCTCATTTTTTGCCAAGCCCAAGTGTCGGCTTTACTGTACACTCCAAGACGGAGTTTATTAAACTTTAGTTGGAATAATAAAGGGCTAGTTTACCCTTCATCTTGTTGTTTCCTGTTACACGAACTCAAACGATTATTCGCTTATCAGCTCTTGAGATTCTTTACTTCCAACAGTAACTTAGAAATTACAAAGTGAGAACTCTACATCTTGGTTTAGCATGGCACCCCAGATCTCCCACCTAAATACCATGTGATTTCTTCCTATGAAAATATGTTAAAGACTAAGTTTTCGTATAAGCGTTCACTGTGAACACCACATGCAGAGCTCAGGGAATATACCAGTGTTACTGTGATTACCAATGAACAAATGAATGTTGCAAATGGTACAGACCGAACTCCACTATCGCTTGGCTATGTGCGATCTGACCAAAGAAGCAAGCATAGAGCATATATGCGAGAAAACCTTGGTGAGTTCACGGTTCTTTCCATGCATTAACTCTTACAGTAAAATGTTGAAAATCCAGTCTTTTGGAATTTAATGAGTAATCCTCTATTTTGATACTTCTGCAACTATCAGTCAAATTTCGTTTACAAAATATGAATGTTCGTTATATGCTTGCTCATTTTTTAAAATTTATTTCATTATAAAATATATTAAAATGATTATGAATTTTTTTATTATTTAAATATTCATTTTGCTTTGTCTCTTCCAACAGATTGAAGAACCTGATGACTGGCTCAGATTTGGTAACCCTTGGGAGAAGGCCAGACCAGAGTATATGCTGCCGGTGAATTTCTATGGTAGAGTTGAAAAAACGAACAAAGGCTCTAAATGGGTAGACACTCAGGTAACACATTTTATATGCTTTTTACTTCCTTGTACGAAGTAAAAAAGAAGTATTGTAATCGCGAAAAGTTTCAGGCAGCATATTTCAACGAAAATATCCATTTTGACCGCTATCGAATGCAATTTAACGATGATTTTGCGTGATATCTGTACTTAAGGACAGAATAAAGACTCGTTTCCTTTCCTCCTTTTTGTTTCTTCCTTCCCTCCAAAAAATTATAAAACTGCTTTAAAATTAATTCTGAAGAGAACTTTTCGTTGCGTCGTCTGTACGAACGTATGTACGTGCGTACGTACGTATCTCGCATAACTCAAAAAACGAGTAGCCTCAGAACGTTGAAATTTTGTATATAGGACTGATTATAACATGTAGATGTGCACCTCATATTTTTGGTTGCAATCTCGGCCGCACCAAACGTATATAAATATTTATATATATATCCACTCTATTACCCGGTCAGTGATCTCAGTTTCTTTACTCTTATATGTTTGTAAATTCTACATTTTTTGCTTTAAAAATGATTGAATTGTGTTGTTTTTATCTTACGGTTAAGGTTTTTATGCCTTTAGTAAACCTGTATGGAATATTTTTAGAATTATAAACAATTTTAAAGTTGTTTAAGTGCCGCTAAGCCTTTTTGTTTATGGCGGCCATTGATTGTTTACATTTGAAATAGCAGACTAGTGGATTTATTGCCAATCTAGAGAAACTTAGCTTCGCAACAACAAAGATAACGCCGTCATTTATTATTGCCAATTAAATCATGCTTAATCCTTTCTGGAATTTTTTCGAGGAAATAAGTGTTTTAAGATTTACTTCGTAATTTTCAATATAGATATTTTGAGGTTTTATGTATTTTTGCCTTCTCGTGAAGGGAGAACTGAATTAATTGAATGAGAAATACTCAATCGTCTGTGAAACACTGTTTCTTTTTTGTTTTGTTTGCTTAATTTCTTTTATACATCATTCTAGCTTTATTATAGTATTTGAATAGAACATGTGGCAACGATTAGATAATTCTATTCTTTAAATGATATAAATTTTGTGCATTATTAGTTATAATATGAACGAAATATTTAAGTGTTAAGTGAATCTAGCGCCACAGTGTCGCTATGGTAAACATATACTAAAGTGAATTTTAAAGAATGCATTTATTCTATTTTGGTTTATGCGCTGTCGGCGAAATAGATTTAATTCAATCCAATAAGTTTAAATGAAATGCAAGAAAAAATGCGTTTAATTTAATGTTCCGTACGAGGAAGTCATGTGGTGTACACATCAGATTTTTTTTTATTTAGTTACTTGAATGAAGAAATGCAAATCCAAATATGAAGAAGAAATATATATATATATATATGAAACAAAGAAAAATGTATTGTTCTTCTTCTTCAAAACAAGCTTTATGAGCATGCTGGGAAATAATTCTTTGATAAAGATTATAATGTATAATCACTCTTTGGTTTTTAAAAACAGTGATAAAGAACATAATTCATAATAAGTGGAAATTATATATTTCAAAAATACTTTAAAAAACTGTTTAGCATGTTTTCAGCATAATAATGAATCTCTCTAGCTGACAACATTGACTCGTAATCGGAAGTAATAAGTGATATCTAATGTTGATAAATAAAGCATACACGAATGCATATTGAAACAAGAATCCTGTTGAATTTGTTAGTGTTTGTTTCAGAATGCAGGTTTATTAAATGCGATAGATGTAAACTTTATCCATAAAATAGATTTAATGGGAGAACTGTGGATTGAGGTTAAAGAAGCGAGCTGCCTGTTCCGAACCTTTGATAAGCATATTGTTCGATGTATCGAACGGAATTTAGTGATACAGTTTCTTAAGCGTTTCTTTGTGTATGGGGCTTATCTCGATAATTTTTCTTCACCTCCTTTTTTAGTCATATCATCTCGACATAATTTGATTGTTATAACTCATTCGATATTATTTGCGCTCGATTGAAGCACCGACAGGTTTGACTCTTAGAATACATCTTGCTAAGGAAAACAAAATGTGATTCTAGAAGTAACTAATCCTTCATTCCCTGAATTTATTATATTCCCTTTAGTTATTAATAATTTCGATTAAATTTATAACTGGAATTAGCTTGTAAGGATTATGTTTATTTATCTAACAGTTAAATTTTGAGTTAAACCTCCTTTCCTGTCCCTTCTGAACTTCAGTTTACAACTTCCGGCCAAAACGTATTTTTAGAAGCACGTGTGAATGCAAATTGAGGAAGAGAGTAGAACTTGGCGGTATTTAACCGTTAAGTTCTACTGTCTTAGTTAGAGAGAACCAGAGATTCTGACTAGCACGCGTCTGCGTTTTTAAGCTACTCTCTCTTAAGCTATTATAACGCTCGGCCGTACTTTAGGCCCTTGATAGCATCGCAGTTTATTAGCGTTAAGAGGCCAACTCAGTTAGAAGTTTGATAGTTTCGGCTATATCTTTTTAGTTAAGATTACTTAAGTTTAGTTCTTAGTATCTTAAGTTCAAGCCCGAGTGTCGGCTTATTGTAATACTCCAAGACGGAGTTCTGTTAAACTTTGATTTTGAATAATAAAGGGTCTTTAGCCCTTTTCAAGTCTTATTCACTGTCTCAAGAACTGAACAGTGAACTGTTTATGAATTATTGTAATATAAAATATATTATTGTAATATTATTGTAATATATTATTGTAATATAAAATTTTAAATAAACGTGGGTCCCACTGAGTGAGCAATAAAGTTGAAAGTCTTCATGGTGGCACAGCTGCTCACCCAGTGGTCTCCTGTCTCAAGAACTCAAGCGATCATTCGCTTACCTTTTTTTAAGATTCTTCACATTCAGCTGTAACTTAAAAGTACACTGTACAGAATCTTACAAACTGCATAATATTCTGACAGTTTCATGTCCTGTTTCTCATATCATGTGTAGGTGGAGAAGAAATGCAATCGACGTTCGCGATACTGGCCACTTGTTAGTCATTTGACTATACGATGAAAGAGATCGTTATAACGAGCATCAGCTATACTTACGGTATTTAAAAATTATTGTAAATAATTGTAAATCTATAACTGAATTGAATCAGTTCAAACTTTAGGATATTTTTGTGAAATATGTGTTCATGGTGAACTTCTCTGATGGAGAGAAGAAAACGTGAACATTTATTATTATTAACCACAGTACACAACAAAAGTAACAGTTGTAAATAACTCTAGGAGAAGGCAGAAAATAAGCAAATTCTACTTAATATACAAGAAATGTCATAGATTAACAAAATCACTCACAGAGCAAACAAAACTCTAGAGTTCATCAACGAATAGAAAGACATCAAAATGGCGCACACAATACGTTTACACTCAAAAGTTCAGTTGTAAACAAACATCGCCCGTTAAGCCTAGCTTAACTTCGAAAAATAAAGTGTTAATAAATCTAAAAGAAAGCAGGTAAAAATTAAGAGTATAGTTCAAAAATTGAAAGGCGTAAAGAATAAGCTATAGGCACTTTTAGAAGAAAACACAGTAGAATTATCAAAACAGTTCATCTAACTCTATTTGAACCTCAATTTCTCTGAAATCACACGGACCTAATGAATAACTGTTTGACTACTGGTTATCGGAGCCGTTTTCATACGGTGCTATCTGCTCTCTGCACCAGGACCGATCCTAGAGTGGGGCAAGATGGTGCACAGCACGTGAGGCGGCCAAATTTAAGGGCAGCGAAATGATTATAAAATATATTATGTTTCTGTAAAAAAGGGCTACCAATTTTAATTTGTATGTGAGCGGCTGACAGTCTAGAATACTCACTGTCTAGAATACTCACCGACAACAGGCCTGCTATTGTGCAAAAAGCTTCGGGGAAAATAGCTCCTGGAGCTCGAAAATGCGTTTTTCCTGAAATTTCTTGAAACTCATCAAGTAGGCGAGAAATCGCCAAATGTCACCAGTGTTTCTATTTCTATCTCAAGTTTTACTTGAGCTATTTTCAGAATTTCCGTGTTGTTGGATTTTGAATGACAGTACTGCGTTTTATTTTGGTAGAGTCATCATTCTGCAGAGGCATGTGTTCGTGCAGAGATAAAGATGATCTGCCTGCATTTTACAACTATTATTTTAAATGAGATTAGAAAATATACAATTTTATCACATATATACACAGATAACAAAAGCAAACATCAGATATAAGTCCCTCTACACTACCAAAGAATAATCGCAGGCGGCAATCCACATTAATAACAAGCATGTTAGATAACAGGAAAATCAGCCGGTACTACGCGAGGTTAATTCCCTCACGTCTGATGACGATGCTTCCCTTGGACGATATGAGCGAGGTTAATTCGATGGCTTCCAGAGATGATCTGTCGACTGTCTTCATTTATTATTTATTTATTATGTACTTCGCCTTTTGGCACCACGTGAAAAGGGAAGGATGCCTTGTGGAGAACTTATTAAGGGAAACTGGCTCATATCCACATGGGAAAAATCACAAGAACGCCCATGCAGCCAGCTCGTTCACCAGGACTCGAACCCCGGGCTGTACTATAAGTGTTTAGTAGCTTTTTTTGCCGCTCGGCCGCTATTGGGCCTTCTGTCGAGGGCCATTCAGAAATTATCTTCCTTACTGGACGAGAGAAAGAGATCTGGTAGTGCCATCTTTTATATCTGGCTGCTATTTAATAGTCTCCACAGTAAGATGTACAATTCTATAGAAGGAACAAGCACTTATATACAAAATCGATTGCCGTTAATTCATGTACAAAAAAATGCATTCTAAAATTATTGCATAGAATGAAACAATTAAATAATAAATAAATAAACAATACATAATATTACATAAAAAACAATCAAATCAAATAAATCAAATATTTATAGAAATTTACAAAAGCATTTTTAGTCAACTTATCAGGTATTTCTTCCGCCATCGTGGTGCACTGGTTCTGCACACTGGGTCGGTATTACAGAGATCCGCGGTTCGATTCCCGGCGAAGGCATTGTTAATTTTTCATCTCGCCTGCCTCCAAAAAATACCTAATGTCTCTACAAACTGAAAACTATTTTTTCCCTGAAGTTAATGCCATAACATTCCAAGTACAACCATTTTTATCAATAATCCAAAATGTTACATATAAATAATAACAATAATCCAAAATATTATAATTCAATATATAAAGAGGAATTCAAGTATTTAAATAACGAAAATAATGTTAAAAATTGCTTACGAAAAATGAATGAAAAAAGCTTTCGTAAGTGTTTATTGTATTGAAATGCAGCTTACTGATTATATTCTTCAGATAATGATCAATAAATTTATATATTTCAGATAGTTTTTGCAATGCCTTACGACAGCCCAGTGCCAGGATTCCGGAATAATGTGGTGAACACCTTGCGATTATGGTCAGCAAAATCTCCTCACAGTTTCAATTTAAAGTTTTGTGAGTAAGATTAGTTGGTCATTAAGTTAATTTTGCGAAATTGTCTTATAAAGAAATAGTTAAATGACTGTTTTAAAAATCTCTATAAATCTTTCTCTGTGAGTGACGTTTAACGCCTAAATTCAGTTTCTCCTATTATTTTTATTTTACTTTATTTATTACTTATTAACACTCAGGATAGTATTAGTATGAAGAAACTACCTCTTTTATCCGCATCACTTTTCAAATGCTGCGCCAATAAAGAAATGATGTAATGAATATAAAACAGTATATGGACAGTGTAACACAGATGAAAGGATGTTGCGGCCAAATGTTATCGCAATGTTTTTTTTTTTTTTTTTCCATAATGGTAAGGGTATGGTATGGTGCCCACGTCCTCCGTTAAAAAAAATAAATAATAATGTATTATTTTTTTAAATGTGCTATAGCGAATATACAAGGTGATTCTAAATTGTTTTTAGAAATTATGAGGGGTGATAGAACTCATTCAGATGAGCGATAATTACCATAGAACATAGGGTCGCATTCCACTCTGAGAGACAGAAAAGAGAAATATTAGAATCCCGACCTGAACTTACAACAGTGTTGGGAGAGCGAATGAACGAGATCAAAAGTTGCGCAATCAATTTAGTGAAAAACTCACAGAGATTGCTTAAAACGGATAAAACCGAAAACTTCATTCGAGTTCGAGTGCTAATTCGAGCTCAGACTTCGATGGCAAATGTTCAAATGATATCCCGAAAGCTAAAATTCCGGGAAATGTTCCTTTTGACGCGTTGTTACGAGTAGGTAGCACTTGTGATGCTGATTATTTGAAGAAAACACACGAGGAATATAAGGTATTATGGAAAATAATACCTTATATTCTCTTCCAAAGGGCGACTGGGAGGAACTGTCTTCTTTCATATTTAGTTCAGGTTTTACTGCAGAGACATAAGAATTTTTTCGTCAAACAAGAAATCTGAAAAACCAATTACGTTCATTCCGGAAATAGAAGCATAGATTTTACAATTTCAAGATAAACTACTACCATTTATACTACAATAACATGTTTGGGAGCATGTGATAATTCCTTACAAAATAATTTAAATAATTGTTTTTTAAATGATTTCAGTTAGGAATATACGTAGATAAACAGAAATAAAACTAAGTACTAGGTATAATAAAAAACAGAGTAAATGCTGTTGTCGAGATCATCGAATAGGATATTGTGGAATTTCAATGTTTAAAAAACTCTGAAAGCTGCTAATTTCTGTTTCGATGCTGAATTACTCTAAAAAATTACAAAGTTTCCGCTTCAAAAAAACAAAACAAAAAAAAAAAAAAAAAAAAAAAAAAAAAAAAACAGGGAGGCCCCCAAAAAAAACGGATTAGAAATCTGCGAAGAATATATCAGAAATCCTTCCGAATCTAAATTGTTTCATCACATAAATCATCAATGAGCATGATGCTTAACTTTCTTTCACTGATTTTCGGTTCTGTTTAAAATAACATTTTTGATAGGTTTCTTAGGAGCTAGGGTGTCTTCAGCAATTCAGTATATCATTATATATGCGTGAGTGTATAAATATAATCTATCGCCTATAATTGCCTAATTATATGTAGGTATATATTATAATTATCTAAATTCCTTTCAGTTAATAATGGTGATTATATACAAGCTGTGTTGGATCGAAATTTAGCCGAGAACATAACAAGAGTCTTGTATCCCAACGACAATGTAAGTTAAAAACGCAAGATAATCACGCTTTAAATATGAAATTATTTGAAATTTTCAAAATATTGTTTATTTTATGCAATTCTGTGCTACCCTCTTCTTTTGGAATTCAGAAACAAAATTAGAAATTGAAATATTTTTTTTTTAAAAAAAGTACATTAAAATTGATTTTATTGAAAAAAAATACGAAATTTATAGTAGGTAGGTTTGTAAATACTAGATTAAAATTTATATCACACTCTTTGGTCTGGAGACTCAGGAAGACGTAAGCGAATTATTGCTATATCCTGGAAATTATAACAGAGACGTATAAACGGTGTAAAAGACACTTTTGCTTAACCTGAAATGGCGACGTAAATGTCACAAAGGCATAGTCACAAGGAATAAAATGCTGGAACTCCGTTCACACCTGCAAAACAGGGGCTAAGCCACACCCACTCAGCGAAGCTAAATTTGCGCATGCGTGGATGTGTCTACAGCTTTCCCACTCTGTTTCCCATTCAGGTTTCGCGCGCTCGCTCTGACTGGTCGATGCTTATCCCAAGTCGGCATAAAGTTGAAAACTTCGAACTTTACGCCAAGAGCCCTAAACCAGATTTTGTGACGTTGCCTGGCAACGCAGCTCGGCTTCAACCACTTATGCTCTTTATACCGTCTTCTGAACGCAGCTTAAAGGCACAGCTTGTGCTTTCAAAATAGCTAGTATTTATAGCGCAACTCAAAAAATGTTGAATTTAAATTACATTAAGAAAATTGTAATTTAGACCAAAGGCTACACAGTGAAAATGTTGTTGGCTCAAAGCTAATATCGACAAGTCTAGTGGCGAGAATAACGCAATGCCACATATATACTGTTCTCAAGAGAATCAGTTAGCAAACGTGGCCTTCAGAAAGCGAAACACGCTCTGATTCTAACGTTCCTATTTCTTTTCTACCTGGCGTGAATACGCGCCACCTAGAAATTAGCATTCTGGCAGGAAAACGGAAAGCGAGAAAGACAGTAAAAGATAATTAACGTAAAATAATTGATCAGTAAGCCTAAATATACATCTTTATGAAATTATAATTATATAAAGATATATAAATGTTAGGATGTTTATTTTAAAAATTAGAATGATTCTTATGATATAATCAACCGTTTTCCTTTTTTAGTTATTCGAAGGCAAGGAACTAAGGCTGAAACAGGAATATTTCATGGTGGCTGCTACCCTACAAGATATTATTCGTAGATTCAAAGTTTCGAAGTTCGGGTCGAAGGATCCAATCCGAACGTCACTGGATAATTTCCCTCAGAAAGTAAGACTAAGGCACGTTTAGAATTTTATTGAAATTATCTGAGCAATGTTCATCCTAATTGATGGTAGAGAGCAGAACTTCGATTCGTCAAGTCCTGATAAATAGATTCCATATTATATAAAAGCAAAAATGTAACTGAAATGCACTAGTTTTCTTCCAAATCATTCTATAAAAAGTATGGAGAATAATCTTCGACTGTTTCAGATACTATGAAATATTACTGAAAACTGTACGCAAATAATGAGACAATGTCAGAATAACTTGTATAACAGAAATAAGTCTACTTAGAACAGATTACAGTTTAAAGAAGACAAAAGAACGTTATGACGTAGGTAAAATATTGTTGTTTCACACCAGCACACATTAGAAACTATAAATTACATTGGTGTCTAAAATTAAGATTTCAAACATAAAATATGTGATACCTTGAAGAATAATTGATTTATTTTAATAAAATTTTGTACACAGTTGCCCAGTATTATGAAACAGCCATATACTAGTAAAGAAACTTTATGAAGGTTATCATTTTTATCCATTTTAGCATAATTTATATTATTTACTCTTGAATACGGACACTGTTGAATATGTTAATGAATTAAGTTGATAATTTCTGAGGTCTATGTAAATATTTGAATTTTTGTTCGGTAAAAGTAAACTTAATTTTGGCAGCAAAGAAGGAGTAACGTAATGCATGAACATTTTGCTGCAGTTCTCATTTAAATTTTCGTAATATTTTTTCGCTAAAATATATTACTTTAATGTTTAATACATTTTTCGTAGCAGTAATCTGTCGGTTTGAATTTTCATACTGTCGCTTTAGAGATAGAAAGCCTAAGAGTTTAAGCAGGAATTTCTTAGGTGATCTTAAATCAATTGCTTTCCCAAAGCCACAACTTTCTTAGAAACAGCAGAACAAAATTTAAGTGCAATAATGCAACGAATATGGCAGCGTTGGCCAAACTTCATGTCAGTAAGAGCCGCACTTTTGAATTCAGGAATGTTCGAGAGCCGCATCTAGATTTTCTAAAAGCCACAAGTTCATATTTACATCATTATAGAAGTAGTGGAGGAGATTTTAAATAGAAAGAAATCCCTGATAGCTTTGTAAAATGAGTATAAACTAATTAATTACTTCCTTTAGGACACTGAATAGTTTTAGTTTACTATATTTCATGCATGAGCCGCACAAATTGCCTGCGAGAGCCGTAACAGGCTCGCGAGCCGCACTTTGGCCACCCCAGGACGGTTATTCTACGCTACGAGAGTCGACAGCAAGTTGTGGGCAGCCAGATGTCGCTGCTAGTAAAAAACAGGTCTGCCCGACATCCTATATTCCTGAGTACGGAAGTTGTCGAAAGCGCGTGAAAAAATGTTGCCGCGTTCGTCAATCAGGGTTGTGCAGTTGACGTACTAAATAGAGAATGGCTTTGTATGTGATTTCGCCGCTGATTTTTTCATATTTAAACGAAGAATACGGTTGCAGATCTCTGAATCGGTGGCCAATTTATAGAAAATATGTTGATGCTTTTGCTCTGCCAGATGTTTTCATTGCGTATTTCAGATTGCTAACAATTTACAGTTATTTTAATTTGCGATGAACTGAGAGAGTATTTGGAGCTACATTCAGAAAACAAAAGAACAGAATTTCTACTGAAAAGAAAGGTTATTTATACTATTCCTCAAATTATAGATATAAATTGTAATTATATGCTTTAAAAATGCAGAAGATAATTTGTATTAAATGAAGAAGGTTTATGTACTTGATAAACTTATATAAGATAATAAGTTTATTAAGTACATAAACCTTCTTCATTTAATACAAATATAGACATCCGATAAGCTTCTACTCGATTTATGTACAGCAAGAAATACGTTTTACTTTAAAATCTAACATTTGAATACCTTTACGAATAATACTGTGAACACAAAATGGTCATTTCGTTCATATTACGCGAAATTCACACTACTGTAAAATAAAATTAAAAAAAAAAAAAATAATAATTATAATTATAAAACTATAAAATAGATTTATAATATTTTTTTCAGTAATTGTACTACTATTAGTGTGATACTTTTAAAAATAAGTTTTAGCCCAGAGGGGCTATTAATTTCGTTTTTGCCATTTTGTGGCGTTTCACGATAATGGCGTTTCACTTTTCAAATCGTTGCCACCAAGTATTATCGCACTCTATTATATTTAAAGAAATTAAATAATGAGGAATCTGCAGAAATGCAAATGAATGTTTTCTCGCACTGTGATAAAACAACGGTACCTAGAGCCATGAAAATTCTGAATAACGTAATCCTCCATCCTAATAGAGGCATCTGGAGGGCCAAATTTTTAACTGGGAATTTGTATTACTATCCATTTCATATATCATAGTTGTAAAGCATTTATGAGGTTTTGATTAAGAAACCCAAACGATTTCAAAGCGAGCAATGCAAAAAACATTTTCATCTCTAGCGCGCGAGACTATGTATCGGAAATTCTAAAGATATGCTTTTTTTTAATTATATGATATTGCTGTTGAATTGAATTTTTATGGTTTAAGTGCGAAAAACATGATATTTAATAAATAAAGGTAACACGCAAAACGTTAAAAAAAAATGGCCCTTGGGGAGTAATATAAAATCTGAAGGCTTTCATATTTTTTTTTTTTTTTTTTTTTTTTTTTTGTGGTGTGTGTGTGTGTTGGTGTGTGTGTAATTTTAATTACGTTTTAAAACTGGTTTTTAAGTGAGGACTTTCTAAGGGAAACTGAAACTGGCTCGTATACACGTTACACATGGAGAAAGCCACGAAAAACGCCGGCCAGCTCGTTCGTGGAATTCGAACCTCGGACCAAATTACCTGCGTTCAGCGACTCTACCGCTCGGCGGCTGGTGGGGCTTGTTAGCAGAATTATACTGTATTATTATTGTATTATGCTATAAAGTAACAATGCTATAAGACTGAGGGTTTGTTTCATGGAATAGTACTTTTGTAACCTATTATAGTATTAAAAAAATCATTGTTTCTTTGCAAACTTAAATAAATAAATAAATAAATAAATAATAAAAATACTGTTCATAGCATTTCTTATTTTTATATTAAAAGAGATATTGATTATTATTAGTTTTCTATTTAAAAATGTGTCGAAACGCTGGTTTGAAAAGGAACTTGAACTGCAGGAAGACCTACACTGATTATTTTTACTTTAGTACTTCCATTGTGAAAAATATTACTATCTTTTAATTATTTTCACAGAACAAAATCTTTTGAGAAGGAAGAAAATAATTAAAACTGAGCAGTTCTTATATATATACAAAATTAAAATAACAGCAATGTAATATTGAAAAAAAGATATTAGTAATTGTGTGACAAAAAATTGCAAAACGAATTAATCACACATACAGGATAGAATAATTTTATTTTGGTTATATATTTTATATTGAAAAAATTTTCTTTTCTTTCATGTTAATTTATAGAATAAATTATTTAAAATAAAGCATTTTGATGCGTGTCTGATAACTGAATGCAGCAGCAATCGGCCATACTGTAATAGCGAATGAATTTTATTTCTTTTCCTGAAAGAAATAATTTTCATAGAAAAAGAAAATAAAAAAAGGGAAGAAATATTAAGAAAGAAATATTTTCTTTCTAATTTCTTATTTAAAGAAATATTTTTCAAATAGTAACTGTAAAATAAATTGCGGGAAAACAGTTTTAATGTAAACATGGAAAAAAAAAAAAAAAAAAAAAAAACTTAGTTTGCCTATTAGATTGTAATGCAAATTAATCATATTATAAATTTAAATAATTAGAATGGTTTATTTCTAAAAGGATTTGAAAGTAAGCTTAATTCATTTACTCTTATCTATTACCATTGCTTTCGTTCGTGGTATCCCATATCACTCTTTATTTTTTAGCTCTAAATTCCTGGCGTTAACTTTCCCATTAAAAAAACGAGATTTTCTTTCACATAACACAGCAGCATATTCAGCATGTATTGGTCATAATACTGTTTTGTGTGCAATTTTTTCGAACTACAAATGCAGCGTGTGAGTTAGTGAAATAATAGGAGAATATTCCTAGAACTTCAGCCAGCGCGCGTTATAAATTTCGTCACTCGGCCTGTACTGCGATTGGTCTAAAGCTCCTTGAAGCCTTGTCCCCTTCCAGTAAAGTTAAATGGACCCACCCGCCCACCAACTGAGGACCACAGAATGGCTTTCTCCGATAAGTTGGGATGGCTGTCCATACCGGTTCTTTTGAGTCAATATTGTTCGCTCAAGTTGTAGACAGATCCAGTGATCATAGAATAAGCGTCCTGGAATATGGCATAGGCGTTCAAGCATTTCCGGGCCATACCAGCTCCTATACCAAAGCTAACTTTATTATGGTTATGAAAGCAATGTGTACCGAGAAGAGGCCCCATACAGGATGAATCTAAAAAAAGGTGGGCAAAACTTAACTGGGTGATAGAATGCAGCTATACGAGCGAAATTCGTCATAGAATGTGTGGCTGGAACGCAAGCAGCGAGAAGTTAAAGGGCAGTTTAGTTTTTCACTGTAACATTTAAAGAAGTAACAGAAGAATGAGAGTTGCTACTTCAGAAAACATTTTATTAACAGGAATGTAATTGATGTACTTACATGCTCAAAGAAATTGCTCAAAAGACCTTTCGCCAGCTGTAATGCAGGATTCGCACCTGCAGCATAAAGACTGACGCATGTTTGCGAAGACACCAGACATTTTCTGAGTATCGCTTGCAACAAAGGCGATCTTGGTGACTAGATCCATAAATACGTTTCAACGGGGCAGTCGTAGATTAGGCTTTTCATATGGCCTCACAGGAAGAAGTCCAAACACAAAAGATCCGGTGATATTGGTGGCCAAGCTATGGGACCACCTCTACCAATTCATCTCCCTGGAAATTTTGTGGTTCGTATTACCAGCCATCCTCTCGGCAGTCCACGGTAGAAAATGCCGTTGGGTGCGAGAACTGACCTTTTATACTATTTACAATGCGAGGTGAATGGTATTGTCCTTAGCTCAGATATCAACAAATTGCAGGTGACTCAAAACACAATCTTACGCACCATGACAGGAGCGCATTTTTACATCCGTAACAAACTCCTGCACGATGATTTACAAGTTGAATATATTGACAAATATCTGCAAAAACTTAACAGCAAGTTCTTTGACAAAGGCTTGAATTGCAGTAAAGGAAACTTTAATGCTGTACTGAACTATGTCTGCATTCCTGAGGACTACAATATCAGGCCTTTCACGTCTCACAGAATGAGGGATCACAATTTTGTCACTTAGCCCACTTAGCCCACTCGTTTTCAAATATGTAAATAACACATTTTTATGCGTACATTACTTCACTTTCATTTCATTTCATTTGTTTATTACATGTTCAACACTGTATCCTATGCACATTTCATGTATTTTCATTTCTTTTCTTTTGCATCTTCATAGCTCCATACACGTGATTATTACTCTTGTCTCAGGGGTAAGAGTTAAGTTACTTTGATGATTGGACTTTGTCACTATGGCCGATGGGCCCTCTTTTCCTTACCCGCTCCGATTTCCCGGCTGGGAACTAGCTGATAGTTGACATTCTGATTGTCCTTAAGGGATTAGATCAATATAGCTTATTAAAGCCCAACTGGGCTAATATAAGCATAAGCAATTAGCATTTAAGCAAGGTATTGTCCTTGGGCTTGTATAGCCCTTTAATATTGCTTGTATAGCGATCACCGCGTAAAGTTTTGCCCACTTTTTCAGATTCACCCTATAGATTTCTCTTTAAGATTTCCTCTTATTCTGCTTCAAATTCTATGTTTGAAATAAAAAATGTCTGAATTATTTTCTACATCTCAATTAGAAGTTAAAGTTTTGCTAGTTCTTGTCGTATCTACTACTCCTTCTCCATAAACTGTCAAACCTTTGGTATAACAGCTACAGGTATCAGTGGGTGGGATGCAAAATTTCACCATTGGTCATATAGGTATAGCCCTGCCCAAAGTTTGAGGGAGAACCACCCGCGGGGCAGTTCGATTCTCCCTTTCCTTTAGTATGACACCACAGATCTCAACGTTTTTAGGGCGTTTCCTCTTTCCTTACCGGACGCCTTCATGTGCAAATGAAAAGCACGTCCAGCTAGCAATCGAAAGGTACGATGTTCAAGTCCCAGCGAGGACATGGTGGATTTCTTTGGTTTCTAAACTTTGAAAAATTCTAGTAGACTGTTCAAGTGATGCGCCAACTAAATATGTGATTTATGCTAATTCATCACCGCTTGCATTTTTCGATTGGATTCCCTCCTCCCCAGTCGCCCTTTAAGAGGGAGAATTCGTAAGGTATTTTCTCCCTCTTCAGTGCGTGCCTTCGTGTTCTAATTGAAAAGCAAACCCGGCTAGCTCGAAAGTTCCGGAATTCGAGTCCTGCCGAAGGCATTGCATATTTATCACGTTCCCTGACATAAAAAATTCTGAAAGTTCTTAGCACGTTGTTGATTCGCGAAGCGAACTTTAGGCTTTGAGGGAAACTGAGTTATGGCATTAACATAATATTTATTTTACAAGTATCAAAGATTATACTTCTTTCTCTTTTAGCATAGCATAAAGCATATAAAAATAATTTAGAAAATGCATACTAGTAAAAACAGTAACAACAACAAAAACAGATTTGTAGCTGAGGTATAGTGTCTGTAAAATTGTGTCCGGAAATAAATAAATGGAATGTGCAAAAGTGTTCTTAAAATAAAATTATGTGATAAATGAAATATTTATTTATTTACCGTAATTTCCGGAAGAAACGCCGCGGCGTTTACGTGTTTAAAACTTAAATTTTCAGCGGGTGTGGCGTTTCTACCCATGCGGCGTTTAGGTGCACTAAAAATAAAATATTTCCTATGATGGTCATTGTACATAGTTTGGATGGCCTTGTCATTGTGCATAGATTGGTGCTGTTCCCACACAAAAGACCACTCAGTTGCTTTTTGCGAACGTTATTTTTGTTTACGTTCTTTCCCTTGAACGGACCTACATGCCTTATTCACCCTAAACGAGATCTCAGAACAATAACATTTTCCCCCTTTCAAATCAACACATTCTCATCAGTTTGAATAGTCTCTCTCTCTGCCCATTCGATGAATCTTCCAGGACCCATCCTCTTTCCACCCCTGCCTTTTCTGCAATTTTTTCAAAGCGGGACACGACTCCACCTGCCTCGCAATAACGAACTCTGACGTATTTCCCCTTCAGCATGAATGTATTTTTCTTGGCATTCTGCCAAATACAGATCCCGTCAGTTAGGGTACAAGTACTTGTTGGATAGTTTTTAATTAGGGAGCGGAAAATTTTTGAAAATGTTCTCTAAACGGCACAGAAGCTATACATTTCTACCTTTAATTTATTTTTTGAGTTATGGTTTCATTTCATGCATTTTCTTAACTGGTATGTCATATATCAGGACTTAGATTGAGTTTTTGCATCTATACGGCCCACGACGATGTCACGCGCAATTTAATCTATTGCGGCGTTTACGCTGATGCGGCGTTTCTGTGTGATTATAATTTTTTCCCGCCATTTTTCTCGAGTGCGGCGTTTACGCTGATGCGGCCTTTCTTTCGGAAATTACGGTAGCTAACTTTTGTATAATATTTATTTATCTGAGCTTGATGATATCAATATCATTTAGAATTAAAAAAGGAAATTTCTGAGATGTATAATTTTTTAATTATTTAATTCTATGAAAACATCTCCTTAAAATAAAACTAGAAACATTTTGGAATTTTTAGGTTGCAATACAAATGAATGACACCCATCCAGCCATCGCAATTCCAGAACTGATGCGAATATTAATCGATATCGAAGGTCTATCATGGGATAAGGTCAGTATGAATTACAATGCTATATTGTGTAAAACGGATTGCTTGAGGATTTATTCTCCATTTCTATTTGAGATGGATTCTATTTTCAATAAAATGAAAAATTTGATTCAGTGACATTTTTATTAGTAATTGTGTTCCGATAATTTTTTGGTTGCTTTATAATTGAAACAGGAATCATAAATTTACAATTAATGAGATGTTTTCCCATTTCCAGGCTTGGAGTATAACTACGAAGACTTGTGCTTACACTAATCACACCATTTTACCAGAAGCATTAGAGAGGTGGCCCACAACCATGCTCGAGAACATTCTGCCAAGACATCTAGAAATAATATACGAAATCAATGCGCAACATTTAAAGGTGCGATAGGAAATACACTGTTTGAATGAGGGACATCCCTCTTGAACCTATGCTGAATTATAATTAATTAATAATTTTAATAACTTCCATGTGACCTTGCTAAATTAAAAAATTCGAGTGTTTTTAATTCATTTCTGCATTTCAGAAAGTGTCAGAGAAATATCCGGGCGATATCGACAAACTCCGGCACATGTCTATAGTAGAAGAGGAACCCGAGAAATGCATCAACATGGCCCACTTAGCCATCGTCGGCTCCCATGCAGTGAATGGAGTGGCAAGGCTACATTCCGATATTCTAAAAACTACTGTGTGAGTGCTGAATTTTTCCGTGAATAGCATAACTAACTAACTAACTACAGGGTGTTTCATAGATCAGGAGACAAACTTGGAGGGGTGGTGGAGCGTACTAAAACATGCATTTTTTGTATAGGAATGTAGGGTCTAAAGTGACGGATTAAGGCAGGAACGAAAAAAAAAAAAAAAAAAAAAAAAAAAAAAAAAAAAAAAAAAAAAAAGACACGAGAGGAATGTGTTTATGTAGCAAAATCAATGCAAAGTGCTTCTTAGCAGCAATACATGCGATATGCGATGGGGGATGTGGGCACCACCCCTCTACCAATACGGTTAATCGATAAAGCGCCACGTCCACCTTTATCTATTGCCTAGATACATGCCTAGATACGGTGGCTACAGATAGACTGCGCAGAAGATGCGTATATATTCAGATGCCTAAATACATCTTACGTAGGAACATATGGTTTATTAAATTCAGGTTATTAAATTGCCGTTCCATATTTATATAAGCTATGCCATTTAAGAGTAAATTTTTGTGCTAATAAAGAAGCACATACGTTATTTTACATACTGCGCCACATGAACGACTAGTAATTCAGTCTGAGGTTTGAATCCTGGCAAATGGGCTGTTTGCCGCTTTCGTGTGGTTTTCCCATGTGTAAGGTACATACGAACTAATTTCCCTTAGAAAGTCCTCTATCAAGGTATCCCTTACCTTAGTCAGGTAGTCCTCGAGGGCTTTGTAATAATCAAAATAAACCATAAAAACAACTTACAGCTTCATTAATAATGACGAGGTTTAAGGTATGCGGTGAGCAGTGTACATATTCTGCATTTTACTGAATGATTTTATCTTTTGCCACTATATCAGTGAGGCGGCTTCGAAAAGAAGTTATAAACTCTGTAGAAACATTATGTTAATTTGGAAGCAGGCAAGATGAAAAATTAGCAATCGCCTTTGCCGGGAATCGAACCACGGACCTCTGAAATATCTGCTCAGTGTGCTAACCACTACACCACGAAGGCACGCTAGGAAAGCGGGAGAAATACCTTATATACTCCGCTTTTAAAAGAGCGACTGGGGTTTTTAGAGGACCCAATCGCCAAATCCTGGGTATGGAGAATCCTCATCCAACACCCTTTTAGTTCGGTCGCTACTGTAGAAACATTAGGTTAATTGGAAAAGCCGGAGAGATGAAAAATTAGCAATCGCCTTCGCCGGGAATCGAACCACAGACCTCTGAAGTACCGGCTCAGTGTGCTGACCACAACGCACCGAAGGCTCGCCAAGAAGGTGGGAGAAATACCTTATAACATTTCTCTGCAAAATTGCGAATGATTTTGCGAATGCTGTCCAAAGTCAGCAATGAGTTTGAGACAGTTTTGGTTGAAGTGTGGATAATCAAAAAGTACTGAATAAAGTATAAACATACTAATATTGATAGGAAAACAACTTGCTAACCTACGTGACAATAAAAAATTTCCAAAGCTTATTTTGTTCTGATGCTTTTACAATACACTGAATTTTTAAAAATTATGAAACTGGTTACTATATGCAATAGCAAAAACATGTTCTGTCTTGTTAGATTGTTTTTAAGATGATGCAAATTCAATTTTAAAATATAATTTCTTTTTCTGATTTAATGTTTCCTATTCTTTCTGAGTACTTTGAAATTTTTGCTCTTGATTTGAAATGAATTTCAATTTCAAATTCTATCGAAATTCTCCCGGAATGTCGAAGGAGTTGGATGTTAATGTTAAAAACATGATTCTGCAGCTCAGAAATGAGGGTTTAACTTATCTTGCTATAGGAATACAACTGAACGTAAGTTTATGTACTATTAGAAGTGTTTTAAAAAATGTTCAACGTAATAGTATAGAAGGAAAATAAGATTAGAAATGGACGGCCTCTGCAAGGGAAAACGAGGCATTATTAAAGAGGTTAGAGTCATTAGGTTAATTTGAAAAGCCGGAGAGATGAAAAATGAGCCAACGACTTCGCCGGGAATCGAACCACGGACCTCTAGAATACCGGCCCAGCGTGCAAAACCACTACACCAGGAAGGCACGCCAAGAAGGTGGGAGAAATACCTTATATTTTTTTAATAATTAATAACTTAAGTTACTCACAAAAGTTTTAATTAAATTTGTGCATAAAAATATCAAAGATGGCTTCGGCAGCAAATTTATTAGTTTATTATTACTTTTCGAATTTAGAAAAAATAATAGATCCCTAAAACGTGTGAGCCCTCAGGTATTACCAAATCTTGCCTATCTATGGCCACTGCTCAAAGATGTCTTTATCTCTCCAAGAGATTTCTCAGTTACAAATTTCCTTAAGTCTTCAGATTTTAGTTTCAATAACGGGCACTTTTCCTCAGCGAAAGTTATTTCCCAGATTGCAATTAAATATTAATTGTATGCTTGTGGTGTCAAAAAAGTCCTGCGCTCCCAGCCTTGCTACTGAATTACTTTACTGCTGTTAACTGACGCATGCACATAAACTGCAAATGCAAAGAATTTCTAAAGCCCCTCTCTGTGACGGAGCGAACTACATTTTCTGATGTAATTCCATTATTTCGAATATATTTCATCCAGGCATTCTCTAATATAACGGCAAAATAATGAATTTCATTACGATATGATGTCAAAATTAGTCAATATATATTGTAATAAAAACATTTTTCTATAACTTATAATTCTAAAATTAGTTTTTTATTCGACACAGAATTTTGTATCACGTTACAAATGTAGTTGTGGTGTTGCGCGGTCCCAACCTACACGCAACAATAATAGTGACTGCTATGAACTGGAAAGTACACAAAACTCTTAAGAAGGGTTTAACTCCCTTTTTATTCTACTTTAGAAGTTACAGCTGCGTGCACTTGACGCTCACAAACTACGCCGACCCGCGCGGTAAATGGTTTAAAATAAATAAGAAACTAAAAACTAAAAATGAATAATAGCAAGTTACTACCTACGAGGCTCTCTAAACGTAACTAACCTAACCGCGTTCTAAGATACAGCTGATATTTCAGCAAACTTTCTGAATATTAAGTTGAAAGATTCAACTATCTGCCGAGGCAAGCACACAGGCCGAAACGCGCGGTTCGTCAATTTCTACCTAGCCACCTTCACGCTCGTGAAGCAAGAAAGCACAGCTTCGAACTCGTTTCCCTTCTATTTAACTCAAAATTACTTCTGCTAAAGATTTGAATACTTTGCGCGTTCTACTAAAATTTACATACTCTGGCATTGGTAATTCCAGGGAAAAGTAAGGCTTGACAGGAAAGATAGTTTAAACTTAAAATAAATGTTAGTCAAAATAAATATAAACCCTACATAGTTATAAAAGTTTTTCAAAAGGATCAGCAAATAATATATCATCCACTTTTTTTTTTTTTTTTTTTTTTTTTTTTTTTTTTTTTTTTTTTTTGGTTGTTGTGTGTTGTGTGTGTGTGTGTGTGTGTAAGCGTAAAGTACTTGGTTAACATTTATACTGAAATGCTTCTTCTGTTATCTTCCAGGTTCAAGGATTTTTATGAAATGAATCCGGAAAAATTTCAGAATAAAACAAATGGCATCACACCAAGACGTTGGTTGGTTCTATGCAACCCTGAGCTGGCGGATACGATAGCAGAGGTGATATTTTTCATTCTATGATACTTACTATTAATCAACTGAAAAAAAAGAGATTCATTGTTCATAATATGAATAAGCAAAATAATTCAGTTCATAGAAACTTAAGAACTCGGTTCCAACATAATGTGTTGATGTGCCCTGTTTGATTTCTAGCTATTCTTCAAATTCAAGCATGTTGTGTGAGAAAAGGAAAAAAGAAAATAAATCCTGATGAGGTGCAAAAATGCTGCGACCACAGAAATAATCTCTTTAAGGCAATTCGAGAATATACATAAAAAAGATTTTTCCTAAGTACTATAACGAATAATGAATCTATTTTCTGACAGAATACAATGGAGATTGGGGGGGATGGCACTGAAAATTGCTAACAAAACTTTTGAAAGGAATATAATTAACATTTGTGACATTAAACGGGTGTCTGGATCTTCACATTTCATGAAATTTAAAGGTATTTATTATAAATACCAGCATTTTAAACTTATAATAGCTATTAATATGACCCTCATCTATGAGCACAAACACCGCGCTAGTTCTAAAAGTATTTATTAATACAGCGCAAAAACAAAGAAAATATACACCAAATCAGAACATACACCAAAACGGAACATCTAACGTTTAGAATTAATGTTGGAGTCACAAAGACATAATATTGAAAAACATATCTTTATCGCAGCTGGAGGTCGACTGCTGAAAGTTGATTTCGTCGCCACTACATGGCGTTCGACAAAATAGTTCGGTTACATCCAAATAGATCTGTTACACTATAAGTTTTTAAAAACCCCAGTTGTAGAGTATTACCAGTGCAAATATAAATAGTTGTCGATACAGGTAATAAATAGTCTGTAATTTATTTATTGTTTATTTTTCAGAAAATTGGCGATGAGTGGATCACGCAACTCGACCAGTTGAAAAGGATTTTACCTTTAGCGAAAATAACCAGTTTCGTTCAAAAAGTACAGAAAGTAAAAAATGTAATTCACATTTTGATAATTTTATTACTTCTCTTCGTATTCGTTAAGGCAAGAAATTTTAATTAAAATTTTCTCAAATATGCAAGTGATTTTCAAAACTTCTGTACATAAAAGCACGTTCTGTCATCCTTTTCAGGAAAATAAAATGAAATTGGCTGCATTGATGCTAAAAGATTACGGGATCACAGTGAATACTGCATCTATATTTGATGTACAAGTCAAAAGAATCCATGAATACAAGCGACAGTTGCTCAATTTACTACATATTGTTACTCTGTACAACCGCATTAAAGATAACCCCAACGGACCATTCCAACCACGGACTATCATGATCGGGGGAAAGGTAGGGACAATGCTTTTTTCAGAGCTAAAAAAAATTTTGAAAGCTTTATGTAAAGAGGAGACTTAACTTTGGTGATTTTTACATGTAAAGTATGATTTTATTCGCCTTAGAGGGAAAAGGTTTCATTTTGGAATATTTGTTAATTGAAGGATATATAAATTAGTGTGTTTCATTTTCTCCAAAAGTGTGATTTTCATATGACTTAGCTTACGCCTCGAACCTTAATGATGTAAAAGATATATATGCAAAATTTCAAAAATATTCGATAATAATTAAAAGTTTGCACACATTAATCACTTTTAATCATCTCAAGCTAGTGAAAGTTGTAATATTGTACGAATGGGCAATGTTGTAATTTGTACGAATGGGCTTCTCATGTATTTCTTTCCTTGGCCACGATATTTCAAAAATGTCCATTTCTCCAGCTACCTTTACTGAGCTTCAGCGATCATTGGAAGTAAAATGGCAAAGGAAATCGAAAAGTCACTTTTTGAAAATCCTTCTTATTTGGTCTTCCATTGGGATAGTAACCTGTTGCTCTCACTTCAGAAGGAAGTGTCAAAACTTTGGAAGATAGAGTTGCAGTTCTAGTGACTGGTAAAAAATTTAAGCATTTGCTTGGCGTACCTGTTGCCCTGAAAGGCAGTGCCAGATGGCTGAAGTAGTTCTTCGGGAAGTGGAGCGATTTGGGCTACGTTACAATATCGTCGGTATGTCTTTTTATACTACAGCATATAATACAGGACTGATCCAAGGGGCGTATAACAGAACTGAAAGGGAATTCGGACGAACATCATGTATTTGGTTTGCTGGTATTAGACCCATGATGGATATTGAAAGGAATATTGTGGCATACCACGATCAATGGTCCTGACATCCAGATTGTTTAGGAAGTTCCAAAGTGTGTGGGCTTCACTTGATAAGAAGTCAAATACGACAATGGATGAAAGTCCCGTTCAGCACTTTCTAGAAGAACAACGAGTGAAAATGGTTAACTACATCCAAAATGTCCTAACAGAAGGAAGATATCCATGTGAAGACTACAAAGAGTTATTACAAATCTCAAAAAGGATGTTGGTCTCAAAACGACTTCAGTTTCAGAATCCCAGAGACTCTGCAACAAGCAAGGTGGATGGCAAAGGCAATATACGTACTTAAAATTGTCCTCTTCAGTAAACAGTTAAATATTCCTCAATGAGAATTGAAGGGAATGAAAGAGTTTTCATATTTTGTCAGCCTTATATATGTTTGCTTTTGACACTAGGCAACTGCAAAAGAAACTGAAACGATTAGAGGATATAAACCTAGTTTTTGAAGGAAAAGACCTGAACTTTTTCTTTACCAATAAAACAAAGACGTTTTTTGAATTGTTAGTATCCACGACGTGACAGAATACTGCAGCGATTCTGTAAGAAGCCATGCTAACTCTCTTAAGGTGTTCAATGACACCGCAGAAAGAGGAATTGTTCTGATAAACGAATCGGTAAGGAATGAAAAGCAAAACAATTCTTGTTGAGGATAATCAAGCATCACAGACAAGTTTTTGCCGAGCGAATAAAAGAAGGGATGGCATCGTTCAAAGTTGATTGATATAACACATGTTTTGCATATCATACTAACTATTAATCTTAGTGTCTAGTTTTAATATAATTTAGTTTAATATAGTTTAGTTAATGCAGTTAGTTTAATATAGTTAAGTTTGTGATTTCTAGTTTTCCCAATAAAAGTAATTAACACTGAAAAAAGCGTATTTTTCCCAACTTTTAGAAAACTGATCAAACACCCTTGAATATTATCCAATCTTCATGAAATTTGCAGTATGTATCTTTTACATCACTGAAACTTGAGAAGTAAGCAAAGTCTGCAAAAATTTTATATTTTATTTTTTGCCTTACAAAATAAAACGCCTTAATGTAGAAATGCTTCAAACTGTTTGTGCAATGTATTGAATTTATTGGATGTCTGAAGGCGTCCTTACATTTTCAAGGAAAAAATTCTGTTACACTTAAGGTTTACATTTTTATTAAATTTCATTCTACCTCCATGATTGCCTATAATCTGCTGCCTCCAGGGGAAGGGTCCCGGATGAGAACCCGAGTATTAGAGGTAATCTCGTGTTTCCGACTGAAGAATATAGACATTGTATGTTTCCCTCAAAAAACTATAAATCTACATTTCAGCCGTTGGTTAAGGCTGAGTTAAAAATTTTAAGCTTAATTACCGAATTTTTTTCATATGCTTAGAAGTTATCCGAAGCATCCTTAGGCAATATTGTGATGGTTGGCTACAGAAGCAAACATATCAGATCCTGTTTATTGGATCTTCTAACAATTGAACAATTAAAACCAACATGCTTATGATTTGAAAACAATTTATTTGTTTATTTTTTCGTATCGTCAGTACGTTAAACACAATCCTGGAAAAGTTTGCATTATGCTATTTTTTCAAAGTAAAGCTCTGGGCTTATAATGTTATAAAATAATTTTACAATTGTTACCTTAAACGTGTAGAGTCATTAGGCTATTTTGAAGCAGGAGACTTGAAAAAGACTAGAACCCTGGACCTTTTGAATACGCGTCGATTATGCTTCCAATTACACCACGAAGGCATGCGGAAAGGAGGGAAAAAATACCTTACATACTCCCCTTTCAAAGGGCGACTTAGTATTAGGAGAACCAATTGCCAAATCTTGGTGGTGACGAATTATCATCCACCACCTTTTGGTTCGGGCGTACTTGTAGGGTCATTCGGTTATTTTGATTCTGAAGACGTGAAAAATGTGTAATGCCTTTGCCGGAACTCGAACCCTGGACCTCTCAAATACGCGTCGAGTATGCTTATAGTTACAGCATGAAGGCATGCGAAAAAGGAGGGAAAAAATACCTTTTAAATGTAAAATTGGAAAAGCCTAAGTTATCTGATTTATTTCTCAAAGCAGAATTATATGGACTTATAGTGTTACGAAACAATTGTATAGTCAAAGCCTTAAATACAAACCTTGCAAAATCTACCTTATCTGAATCTCTAAATGGTTAGTGTTGGTGTATTTAATTATGGCAAAACACACTAGGGCTATCTGCCTAAGGGGAGGGATGCCTTCGTGGAGGACTTTCTAAGAGAAGCTGGCTCGTATACACGTTAAACATGGGAAAAACCATGAAAACGCCCATGCAGCCAGCCCTTTCGTGGGATTCGAACCTCGGATCTAACTACCAGTGTTCATCGACTTTACCGCTCTGCCGCTGGTGGGCTATTTCTCTAAATGGAATCATAGATTTACGTTCACCTTTCAGGAGATACTTAGTATCTGTGTAGGAAATATTGTACATTAGGTATTTTAATTGTAATCTTCGTATACTGTGTAGGAAATATTGTACATTAGGTATTTTAATTGTAATCTCGGACTGTCGGTAAGTTATCAAAAATTCCTCTTTTTAATTGATTAATTATTAATTTATTTTAGGCTGCGCCTGGCTACCACATGGCAAAACAAATCATAGGACTGATTTGCGAAGTTGCAAGAGTCGTCAACAATGATCCAATAATCGGAAACAAATTAAAAGTAATCTATCTGGAGAATTACAGAGTTACCTTAGCCGAAAAGGTCATTCCTGCTGCCGATCTGAGTGAGCAGATATCCTTGGCTGGAACGGAAGCATCAGGCACTGGAAATATGAAATTCATGGTAAGAGAACCTCAACTTTCGACAGCTTAAATGTTTCATTTTTCATCTACAAAAATCTGATACTTTAACTAATTTTTATAAATGTCAATATTTGATCACGACATTTTCTCTCTTTATATAAAAAATACATATAAAGTTTTCCAAAATGAATAATAATCGCAAAAGTTAGAAGCAGAAAAACTAGCTGCAAAATGTAATAACACTGGAATACTTTACTACTACAAATTAGACTATTAAGAGATATCTGTCTATGAGGAGGGATGCCTTTTTGGAAGAATTTTTAGTCGAAACTGGATTGCGTGCTTGAGTAAAACGGAAATAAGAATGTAATAGAAAAAAGGCTTAAGAGATATTTTAGAAGTAAACTAAAGAATAATTAAAATACAGATCGAAGCAATAATATTGTAGAGACATTAGGTATTTTGGAAGCAGGAGAGATGAAAAATATGCAATGCTTTTGCAGGGAATCGAACCGCGGCCTCTGGAGTACGCGTCCAGCGTGCAGACCACCACACCACGAAGGCATGCCAAGAAGGCGGGAGAAATACTTTATATATTCCCCCTCTTAAAGGGCAAACTGGGGATTAGGAGACCCAGTCGCGAAATCCTGGTGCTGAAGAATCATCATCCACCACCTTTTTAGTTCGGGTGCCACTGTAGATACATTAGGTTATTTTGATGCTGGACACATGAAACTGAGCAATGCTCTCGCCGGGACTCGAACCTCGGACCTCTTGAATACGCGCCGTGTGTGCTGATCATTACACCCCGAAGGTGGGAGAAATACCTTATAGACAAAACAAAACAGGTATAAAACATCAACTGCCTGCCTGCTACAGATACTTCATGCGTGTACTTGTTCATCTAAAAGCCGCGATGAGAAAGAATTATTTTCTGGATTTTAATGTTAAAATGACCTTGGTACTTTGTACCTGGATTTATGTACTTTTAATATATTGCTTTAATTTCTTGAACGTATATATATACTTTCTTACAGACATTACAAAATATATTCTAGGCCGTATATAAACAGCCTTGCTGATCAGAAGGCTACAGTGAGTCACCTGAGGGCAGTGTAACTCCACAAGTACAGCTCCTCTATGCAGAGTACTGCTGGCAGCTTAATGCACTGCTCATCAAAATTAAATACATTGGTTTTCATACACTGGTGATCAAAATTAAAGGATAATGACAGAAATAAAACGTAACTGATACTTAATGAAAAATTATCAATAAAAATTTGTACAAAAGCATTAGATAAAATAAATTACAATGTTTGCCAGTTGATCATTCCCAAAATATTGAAATTAAAACCAAATTTATGGAAAATGAATCACATCTAGAAGGAAAGAAATTTTCTACTATCATTTTACGGAACACTGATGTCTATATTCGTTATTATTGTTATTTTTCTGAATGATACAGAAAAACTTTGTTATGCTTAGAACTTAGAATTGCTTAAAAAACATATCGTACGCGTGCAGTAAGTTTGCCAGAGAGAAATTAGAAACAAAAATTTTGCTAAAATAGTAACATGTGACTAATTAAATGACTGACTAAATATTTTACTAAAATTGTAACATGTGACTGACTAAATGACTAAGTGACTAAATATTTTACTAAAATAGCAATATGTGACTAACTAAATGACTAAGTGACTGTTTTGCTAAAATAGTAACATAACACTAACTAAATGACGAACTAAGTGATTGGTTATTTTATTAAAATAATGTACATGTGATTAGCTTAAGCTTTACTGTTTGTTAACAGAACAATGCGTTTTTGAGAAACCTCGTTGAGAAACACCAACCTAGACATCTGAATTTTTACACATTTATAAAAATTTACAAGTATTTTTTAGAATGAATCCATTCACATGCAGTGTATTGATCCCTCGAAACTACCCATGAATAACTATTTATAATTTTTAGGAAGTAACTATACATTAACTCTAGAGATTTGAACTTAAAAATTCTTTTAATTGCAATTAATCACTTGGCCAGTGTTAGTCTTTGGAAGGTACAAAAGCATAACTGAGAGCCTATATAGATCTGAATGAAATACAAAGGTATTTAAGTTCAAAATGCGGAGTTGTGCTTAATCCCACTTAAAATAAAACAGCATTTTAAAAACAACCTTATGAAGCATTGAGAAAAATAAATAAATCTTAACTAAGAAGTAAATATTCAAAAGGTAGAATAAATATGCACACACTCGAAAAGCTTTGCCCCAAACAGTTTTCTTTTAATTCAATTTAACTAAGTTTAAACTTCTTTTACAACTACGAGCAATACTAGCAGTCACAGTAATTATTCGAATTTATGGCGTGGATGATATCAGAAATGTTAAAGCTATATCGTTGAAACAAGAACCGCTTCAAAAACACAACATTTCAAATAACAAATATGTATTTTGTAGCCCCTTTTATTCAACTTTTCCTACTTTTTGAGTGCATATCTTGGAAATAAAATCTCAACAGAAAAGGAATCAACTAAAAGGCTTTAAACTGTTATAAGAATAGCAAAAACAGAGTAAATTACAGTAGAGAGAGTATTATCATTACCGCGCCAAAAACACGAATCTCCGTTTCTGCTGTTTTCTGTTATATGCAAACTCTAAGTTGTTTTTTATTCCTATAGCCGTGGTCTCAAATTCAGATTGCATGCGGGCCAAATGCACGATCTAAAAGTAGCTGACGGGCAAAATTTTGTTTTCCAAAATATAAAAAGTTTTTTTGAACAAAATAAAGTCTTTCTACTAAATTTTAAATTAGAATTTTTTTTAGTAAATATTTATCAAAATATGCATAAATAGTAATTATTATGACTCAAAGGAAAAAAATTCCAATTTATATTTATTTTATCTCTGAAACCTAAAGGTTACTTTATAAGGTATTCCTCCAGCCTTCCTCGTGTGCCTTCGTGGTGTAGTGTAGAGGTTCATGTCTATAAATTAAGGATAATGCAAAATCAGGCAAAGGAAAGGTTAGAAGCAAACCAAATTTGACTTATTTGTAAAGCTTATTTATTAAACAAAAGGTAAAGAGCAAAAAAAGATGCTATATGTTTGATATTATTAAAAGAATTAGCGATTTTTTCTCTCTGGAGCAAATTACAAACAAAAACCTATTTACAAAAAACCAATATTACATGGTTGGTATGATTGTTAATACATTGTATGTCTCCCAGACGATGCAATACAGTCCGTACAACGCCTCGGCATGCTGAGTATCAAATTATCGATCTGATCTTGGGGGATATTACACCACTCAAAAAGCAATGCTCTCCGAAGTTCCGGTAGACATGTAGGAGGAGGTTGACGGGCTGCAACTCGTCGGCCAAGCATGTCCAATATGTGCTCTACTGGATTCAAGTCCGGTGAGAATACTGGCCAGTCCATACGGGTGATATCCTCCGATTGAATGACTTTCCAACTTTTACATTTGCTTTGTTCAAAATAACAATTCTGCAGATTCGTGGTTTGATACAATTGTTCATGTTTGATATCACTGTGATTCATGTTTGAATCCCCTATGCACAGGGATACCACTGTACAACCAGTTTGATGCCACTGAGCTAACGAGAGACGTGCAAATTTCCTGAGATGTATATAACAGAATCATTACATAAAAAGACATAACTCAAGTTTAATCCCTATTTTTTTGCCAACTTTCCAACATCTAAATTTGGCTTCGTCGAACTAACGATGCTATAGATTCGTGGTTTAATAACAGTTTAACGTGTTTGATACCACTGTGCGGCAGTTTGATATCAGGCAGCCGGTTTAATACCACGTTCTAAAGAGCAACATACAAATCTCCTGAGATGAGTAAGAGAACCATTACGTACAAAGACATAACTCACGTTTCCCCCCTATCTTTAATAACTTTCCAACTATTAGATTTGTTTCCAAATAACGATTCTGCATATCCGTGGTTTTGCCGCGAGGTGAATGATATGTGTAATTATAATATATGAAATTTGTCAGTGTCGAAAGGAATGTAACATTAACTAAAGAGACGAGAAAATGGTGTATACGGTAGAATAGCTGATAATTCTTATTAGCCCAAAGTGGCGGTAGCCCAGAAGTCTCAAAACGGCATTTTGTGGCGTTTCAACAGCGAATCAGTTTTTAAAGTGTTGCCACCAAATATTATCGCTCTGTTTTACATTTAACGAAATTAAATAAGGAAGAATCTGCATGAATGTAGGTATGTTTCTCGCACTGTGAAAAAACGACGGTACCTAGAGCCATCCAATTTTGAATAATGTAATCCTCCACGAGAACATGAGCACCTGGACGTCGAATTTTGAATTTCAAATTTGTTTTATTATCTGTTTCATATTTTGTGAAATTTTAAGGAATTTTTGATTAACAATCTCAACGATTTCAAAGCGAGCAATGGCAACACTGTACGAAAAAAAAAAAAAAAAAAAAAAAAAAAAACTTTTTTATCTCCAGCGCGCGAGAATGTCTGACAGAAATTCTAAAGATTTTGTGCTGTTTCTAAATATTTTGTGATATTGTTGTTGAATTCAATTTTATGTGGTTTAAATGTGAAGAACTTTATATTTAATAAATAACGGTAATACACGAAACTTTAACAAAACGCCCCTTTGGGCATAATATAAAATCTGAAAGTTTTCAGATTTTTTATTTATTTTATTATTTTTATTCTAGTAAATTAAATACGAAATGTAATTAACCAAATATTTTCAATTAAATAAATCTACTACTTAAAAATTTCTTAACATTCAATATTTTTGCATTAACTACTCTATAGCATTTTGAAGTGTTTTATTTTAAGATTTTTATTATATGAAAACAAATAAAGTTGAGCCATGCAATCTTTATTGCGCTTAAGGATAATATTTCTTAATATTCTGTAAGAGACAGTAAGTATAATCTTGTGAAAAAACGTATTCGAATAAAAAAATCGTTTTATTAATTTATAAATCAATTCTTAAATTAAAGCTGAGTGTACTTCAGGAATATTTATTTAGAAAAATAAAAACTATGCATTGAAATTTGTACCTACAATTTTTATTAAAATATTTTCGTGTTTTCACTTGCATTTCCTAAAAATGCAATAAAGCTTTTAAAATGTTTTTATAAGTAATATTAAAGACTTTTTATTTTTATTTACTAAAAGTTGAATGGCGCCTTAACTATTGGCACATTGGACGGTGCTAACATTGAAATGCGAGACGAAATGGGAGCTGAGAATATATTTATATTTGGAATGACAGTTGATGAGGTGAAAGCGCTAGAACGAAAAGGGTAAATATCTCATGTGTTTATTTAAAATTTGATTGAAATTTAGTATTTTATTTTTATTCTTACTTCCTTTACGAAGTATTGTAATCGCGGAAATTTTGGGGTATCAAATTTCAACGAAAATATCCATTTTTACCGCTATCGAATGCAATTTAACGATGTTTCTGCGGGACATCTGTACGTACGGACAGAACAAAGGACTGTTTGTCTCCAAACGGATTATAAAACGGATTTAAAATTGATTCAGAAGAGATTTTTTTCGTGTTGTCTGTACCGTACGTATGTACCTATGTATGTATGTATCTCGCATAACTCAAAAACGATTAGCCTCAGAACGTTGAAATTTTGTATTTAGGATTGTTAGAACATGCAGTTGTGCACCTTCCTTTTTAGTTGCTATGGGCTGCATCAAAAGTATAGAAATTATATATATGTTGCTCTTATCTTCCGGTTAAGGTTTTTATGCCTTTAGTCAATCTTCAAGCAACTGTTGTAGAGTGATCAACAATTTAAAGGTAGTTTGAAGACATTTGTTTACATTTGAAACTTTCAATAGAATAGTAATTTAAATCAGTTTCTGCACTTTCAGCATTTTTTGCCGAGTGTTACCAAAAGTTAAATTTCAGTTTTGTGTACCGAAAAATCTTTCTTACCCAACGGGCCGAATTGCTTGGTTTTACATAGAAACCCTAATTTTGATATAGAGAAATTATATAGTTGTGTTTGTATCGTATGTATATTTGATAAAGTTTGAAATTGCTTAACAATTCTTATTTTATAGAAAAAATTGTAGTTTCTTCTCTTACTTAATTCTAGCATTAGGATTTCAACAAACCTCAACAGTGAATGATAAATCATCCTTTGCTCAGAATTATTGGAATCCAAAGCATGATTTTAAATTTATGTATGCTAAAATTATTTTTAATTTTTTTTTCAATTGGAATGTTGGATTTTTTTTGAAATTTTCTTTGAACAGAAAGAGAGTGTTTGGAACATCATCAATGATTTTAAGTTTAACTCCTTATTCTCTTCTGCTTTCTAATACCTTCCACTTTCAGTCGTTTTTCTTTTTTTCGTTAGGTTTAGACGACAAATGAGTTAACATTTTCTGGACTATTCTTCAATTTTTATACCTCTGCTACGCGGTCTCGGATTATCATTCATTTTTTTAGTTGCTAAGGAATTGGAAATTTCATAATTCACGAAGTCAATCCAGTCATTTAATTCGCTATCATATGAATACACACACTGGCCAATGAATTAGAAAATCTAGATCAATATTTTATTGGGCCACATTTTGCACGGATAACTGTACTGATTCGTTTGAGGATCGAGTCTACATGCTTCCTGGAGTGCATTTACGTCCGGAGAATACCATGCATTGGCTATGCAGCTTTTTAGATCTTGTAAATTAGATGGAAGAGAAGAGTGCTGTCGGATGCGTAGGAAGGTGTTGGAAGTCAGACTGATGTTCAGCGAACTAATTTTGAACACTTTTTCCACGATGGATTGTTGCATTATCGTCCATGAAGTATCCGTCGCCATCAGAACATAGATGCAACATTGCAGGGTGTACTTGATCTGCCAGTATATCTCAGTATGTCATGGCTGCTTGTTTACAACCGAGGAACACTAGGGCATCACTTCCATGCCAGCAGAACATGCCTCCTACCATGATACTCTCACTAGACTGTTGTACAGTGGCGAGTAAGGCAAGATGGATTCATGACTTCATGGAGTTCTCAACAAATTCGACGTCTTCCATCAGTGCAAAATAAGGTGCAGCGTGATTTATCCGACCACATTACCCGTTTCCAATCCTCAGATGTCCAGCGTCTTCTTTCCCGACACCACTGCAAACGAATTCTTGCATGTCCTGCAGAAATGAGTGGTTTTCTCACAGGCACCCGATAATGCATTCCTATTCCCTGCAATTCTTTGAACATAGTTTCGAGCTGAAATTTGTTGGGAAGAGCCTTGGTTGACGATCTGTGTCAGCTGAAGCACAATAGAGTCCCTATTCTTCCGTGGCAATTCGTCGGAGACGACGTCGATTACTCTGTTGGAAAACTATGCTCGAACCACAGTTACGTCTTGTACAGGACTGTGGAAATTTTTGAAAACCTTTGATATGGCTGCTTTTGAGAACCCAGTGAGATTTGAAATAGAGGCCCCTGCTAAACGAGCACCAATAATAAGCCCTTTTTCAAATTGTGAAAGATCTGTCGTTTTTCCCATTTTACTTCATTCGTCGTGAGACCTTACTTACACTAACATCCTAACCACGTCTAAGACACGTCCTAAAAAATGTGCATACTTCAATCCCTTGCACGCATTCAAATGAAAGTCTCATTGGCCAGTTTAAATAATTTTTGATTTCCTATAAGTGTCTCTAAGAAATTTAAATTACCTTTCCCTTCGGCACATTTTCGTTTTCTACCAAATATGCCACGTTTTACCCAAATAAATACTTGCTGAAGTAAACACTTTTTTGATGATTCATTACAAATGTTGAGCTATCTGGTACAGACCAAATATCTTGAAAATGATATTAAAATCGAGTTGAAACATCAGTTTCCTTCTCAAATTAGCACGGATGATTTATGTTTCACTTAAATTATCAAGATGTGTTGATCTATTACAAATGTTGAGCTATCTGATACAAACCAAATATCTTGAAAATATTAAAATTTGAGTTGAAACATCAGTTTCCTTGGCAAATTAGCACAGATGATTTACATGTCTTATTTAAATTATCTTAACCGTAGAAAACTTCCAGACTTTTTTTGGTACCTCTTCTGCTATCGGGACTGGATTCAGGAATGTATGTATGTGTGTATGCACGTGTATATGTGTTCTATGTGTATATATGTGTGTATGTATACATACATACCTACGTACATATACACATGCATTACATACATTTCTGAACTCGGTCCTGATAACAGAAGAGTACCTTTTTTGTTTGTTTGTTTCATTTATCTGTGTTATAACAGAACTAAAATTTATTTAAGTTTGTGAAACTTTTATTTGCTTGGACATTTTAATTCTGATTTTTTTCTATAAAAAATTAGTTACTTGAGATATTTTTCTTTTTTGAAATAAAAAAACATATTGTCCTTAACTTAAAAATAATTTATACTTACAAACTTGCTTATTTTGGTAAACTTAAGCTTATTTGGAAATTTGATTAAAATGCTACAAATTAAAAGATCTGTTAGAAATGAATATCGATTTTAAACAAGCTATAGAGAAATTAGGAAAAAAGGTAAAAATTAATTATGCTCTTACCGTGATTCAAATTATAATCTTCCAACTGCTAGCGGGATGTGTTACCAGTTGCACTGCACGAACACAAATGGGGGGGGACATGTCATTATTCCTTGTAGAGTAGTCATATTAGATATTTATTTGATTATCTGAAAAAACAGTAGAAGTAGCATAAGTATCTATTCAAAATATACAGCTTTTTTTTAAATATTTTTGATTTCCTATAAGTGTCTGTAAGAATAAGTGCTTAAAATAAATAACGTTAATATTTACCGAAACTGAGTTTACGAAAGACGCCTTTTAATTTGAACAATTGCACGTCTATTGAACGTAAGAAGAAACGTCTATTGAAATGAATCATTTAGTGTTTGTCACTTGAACACTAAATGTTTGTTCATTGTAAAATACGAGTCTTATTGAAAATAAATAACTGCAGATAAAAATGAACCGTATCGATTTTTTCCCTTGCTCATGTGATATTCTTCATTGCGCAGAGTTAAAACGAAATTGAATTACTTTAAATATATTTCACATTTCTGTTTAATTATTTTGCATAATAAATAAGTATTTAATTACTTTTTCCTTTTAGGTACAATGCAATGGACTATTACGAAAAGAACCCAGAACTGAAACGTTGTATAGACCAAATAAAGTGCGGTTATTACAGCCCTAATAATGTGGACCAATTTAAAGACCTTGTCGATGTTCTACTTAAGTATGATAGGTAAGAACGGTTACTTAGTGGTTTTTAAATAATAGTATACAGAAAAACAAAATTTATTACCTTCTAAAGCTGCTATCAAACAGTACAACAGTTTCTCTCGTCTAACAAAACTTTTGGAAAGATCTATGCTCCAGAAATTTTAAGTAATTAGATCTCTCAATCTTTTCTATCTGATAGGTTGACCTACTCGGAATATAGTGTCAAAGATAAATTTTTCGCCATTTTCGAAAACTACGGCTGCTTTTCAAATTTATTCTGGGGGAAAAGGTTTCTAGGAAAAATTTCCTATTGCGTTTCGTGTTGAAATTCCATAATCAGGGTGAGCGCCAAGCTTGGCGAGAGTTTTTTATTTGGCGCGATTTTAATTTGGTTGAGGTTTCCGGTTGTATGTTTTCTTGTGGCAAAACTAGAGCTTTATTTCGGTTAAGAGCGCGAATATAGTGCAGCCAGATTTTTTTTTAAATTTAATTTTGAAATACTGTGTTTGTTTTTAAAAGTTTTACTCTTTAATATTATTGTTATATAATATGTTTAATATTATATTTATATAAATATTTGCAGAAGGTTGTTGGTGGGAGAATGTTGGTTTTCATATGACATGAAGTTTATAATTTATGAATGTTTTCATTTACTTTTATTTAGCATTTAGTTAATTTTTTTTTAGTTTTGTTTCTTGCATGTGGCAATCGAAAGATGTGGAATATTTAAAGCTTTGAACGGAAGTTGTTTAGTGTGTTGAATTTAAAGACGATAGTAACTTGAATATTTTTGTTAGTTTGTGATGCTGAATATGCATAATTTGCTATTCTGTTTATGTTTAAAACTGACTTCGCAGTGCTCTGATCTGATAAGTGTATACGTTTATTTACTCAATAATTATTTACAAGAATTGTTTATTCTACTATTTTATGATGAATTACATATATATAGGACTATGCTTTTACTTGCAAAGCTGTTGGATTTTGTTTTACTCGTCTCATTTTACTATTCTGTTTACATAAAATAACGGCGTTTCACTACTGCAAAACTTAAAAGCTACTATTATGTTGACGTTTAAAAATCACATTTTAGTGCTTTCATTTAGTGCGCCTAAAAGATTCGCCAGATTTTGAAGGCCAAAATAGTTTGGCGCCAACTTACCCCGCTTATGGAATTTTAGCCGCGTTTCGTGTCTGTCGGTGTGATATATTAATACTATTGTTGCCAATTTTGTAATTAAGTAGCTAATTTTAGTAGAATTATAATTAAAATTGTTTTGTTTCCCCGTGTAATGCAGCACGAGATAAATTTTGAGGGAAAAGTAAGAACACAGGGGCGCGTGTAGTTAACTTTGAGTAAATGGATATCTCAGTAATTTGTATTGGAATTGAATAAATCTAATCGACCACTATGATGGTTGTAACCGTAATTCCATCCTCTTATTGCTTTCCAGAAATCTCAAGAAGTAGAAGATACTAGAAATTTTTCGCGACCGGTTGAAAACTATAAAAAGTCAGAGCGAGAGCATCACAACTCAAGTTTCTTAGTTACTGTTGTGAGTTGTTTAGTTATGCGTGAACTGAGAGATCAGAGTTAGCTTTGTCTTTAGATACTCTTTGCATTGCGTTGCATTTTAACTTTTTTAGTTGTTTGAAGTACAACGACTGATTATACTGCGTGATATACGAATATCTCTGAGGAAAATTCAAGCGTTCTGATATATTTCTTTTGATAAGAATCAATTTAACCTATTATCAGACTTGTGCATTCAATCTACGAGTAATACGAAACTGTACGCACGCAACACTATTAAAATCTGCGCGTCTGTTTGTTTGTTTGTAATATCATCTCCTACGGAACGGCAGGGATTTGAGTTTTGAGAAAAGTATCTTCGGATTCCAAAAATTCATGTAAAGCCCATTCGCATCTTTGTACGACTTTATATATCAGGTGAGATATTAATTAAAAACTCTGAAAACGCTTATTTTCGCATCCTGTGACTTCCTTTTTATCGCTGAACTTCATAGCTGTTCAGGCAACATTAAAACATAAATACGATTTTCGATACAACTTTTAAAAGGAACCACAGCTTTGCTAGAACACCTGACGTTCTACGAGTTCATTTTATTAAAAATAGTCATTTCTGTAATCATTTCTTTCATCACATCTGATCAGTGGTTCGAAAGACGATACATTATCTAACATGTCGTAAAACATCTTAATTTGTCTTTCAAATGTTCTGGAATGTACTATCTAGACTTTTGTTGGCGTACATAAGAAATTATTGAAAGTGTTCTCTTTATTTGCATATTACATATAGTATATCTTGACTTTAGCTTAAGGAAACGTTCAAATGTAGTATAACGATAATAGCTGTCTTAATCAAAAAGGCATAAAAGTCATTAGGGTGCTACTTTGGTAGACGGTTGCACGGATTTTTGGCGATTTACGTTGGCGCAGTTGTTGGCACGGTTTTTACAATCGTCAGCCATCTTGAAAAACGCTGTTTTTACGTGTTTTACGCATAGTAAAGTATTCGAAACTTAAAAAATAAATATCGTTAAAAATAATGGATTAATATTTTGTTGAAAATGTCGTTTTTTAAGATGGCAGGCAAATGTAAATAAATACATTTACTATGAGTATAAAATACTAAAGTAAGGTTAAATTATTACTTTCATAGCTAAGAAATAGAATAAAAACACCGCTATAAAAACATTGCGCCAACGTTTAATTGGATTAAAATTTTATTTAAATTGAATATCGAATTAAAAACATCATACCAACTTTTAAAAGAATTAAAATATTACTTAAATTGAATATCGAATTACTAACTAAACTACCTATCGAATTACTAACGAAACCATACTAACGTTTAAAAGAATTAAAATATTACTTAAATTCAAATCCTTTAAAATAAGTTTTATAGGATATAATTATTAACATTAAAACATATGTGGCAGTAAATATCTTGGCAATTTTTGAAAACAGTGTATTAATTTTTTTAATAAAAATTAAAGTATACAATTATAAAGTAAAAGAAAAATATGTACTTACATTTTTTTTAGTATTTAACCTGTCGTATATTGATAAGTATCACAAAAGAATCAGAATCATAATTTAGATATCAATGAAAAAATTTTAAAAATGTAATCTAAGGAAAAAATTTGAAAAATGTAATCTAAGGAATTCGAAGAGATGAATAATAAAATTTTAAAATGGCGGGCTAATGCAGAAATATTCAGTAACCAATCAGGGAGCTGATTACAGCTCGTTAATGCACAAATATTACAAATATTCTGTAACCAATCAGGGAGCTGATTACATCACGAATAGAATTAAAATTATTTAAATAATCATGCATAATAAAATATTTTAAAAAATGCAAAATTAAATTGTATTTTAATATTTAACAGCCATAAATAATGTTTAAAACATTAGATTAAATTTATAGATATTAAAACCAATTACTTTTAAAGTAATGTGACGTCATTCATTACATCATCCACAACATAAAATTCCATAAATTATCATAAATAATAAAATTTTTATTTCAAATAAAAATGCAAAATTAAATTGATTTTTAATATTTAGGAGGCATAAATAATATTTAAAATATGGAATTTATGCATAATAAAACGCATTATTTTTTAAATAAAATTACAACAAAGTATCGGTTACCATAAATAACTTATCGAGCAATGGGTTTACCATAAGACGTATCGCTGGCCAAAAAAAATCGCCAAAAATCCGTGCAACCGTCTACCAAAGTAGCACCGTCATTAGCTTCGTTCACACCTGTGAAACTAAGTTTAAACCGTTGCCAATTAGGGAAGTTAAAGCTGCGCATGCGTGAGTTTGAAACTGATTCAGAGAAATGGTCGATCTAATGTCAGTTCGTGATTGGTTCGCTGTAATTTTTCGGTTCTTATACTATATTGCAGTGAAGTTGAAGAGTTAGAACATTTAAACACAATCCTTATAGTAGTTTCTGTGGTTAGCAGTTGCTGATTGCCTTGCAGCGAAGGTTCGACTTATGCTAGTTGTGACCATAAAGCCCTCGTATGAACTCTCCGTAACAGCAGAAAAAATTAATGTTTCTAATCTTGCCCCTTTTAAACGAAAGAAGTTTATAATTGGGTTGGTTTCAATACACTTTTCAATAAATTTCTACAATGGAATTACGCACATGATTTCTTGGTTGATGACTACCTATTAGATAACGATTTGTGCAAGTTTACTGGGCGTCTGAAACATATGGCTAAAATTTCGTAAAACTTTAATCAAACGAAAAGGTATTATAACAGAATTTTAGAACATAAATAAATGACTAGCTTGTAATTAAAAAGGTATAAAAAAAGATTTAAAAATTCCATCTAAAATTTATATTATTTGTGGATATAAATTTCTGTACATACACTGCACTCACTTTTATGTTTATATATGCTCTATATGAAATACAAAAAATTATCAAAATGTATTTTCTTGTGATATACAAAGCATGGATACATCAAAGAGTTTAGTGTTACATAAGCATAGCAAGAGCCCTCTTACCAAATTTGAAAGCCATGAATTAAAGAAATAACCCCTTTAATAATAAAGAATTTAGCAATGTAGAAGTTAATTAATTAATTTCAAGCATTATTAAATTGGTACATATAATTAATTAAGATTTTTTTCTTAAAATATATCGACATTGCTTATGTTTGTTTAATTCAACACTATTTATAATTTAATCCTAAAACTTTGTAGGGTTTATATTTATTTTAACTAACATTTATTTTAAGTTTAAAACTATCTTTCCTGTCAAGCCTTACTTTCCCCTGGAACTGCCAATGCCAGAGTATGTAAATTTTAGTAGAAACGCGCAAGGATTCAAATTATCAGCGGAAGTATTCTGAGGTTAAATAGAATGGAAACGAGTTCGAGGTGTGTTTGTGCTGTTCGTACTTCACGAGCGCGGAGGTAGTTAGCCAGAAAATTGAAGAACCCGCGTTTCGGCCTGTGTGCTTGCCTCGGAGAATTGTTAATCGTTCAACGTGATATTCAAAGTTTGCTGAATTAGCAGCGGTATTGTAAAACGCGGTGAGGTTAGTTAGTTAATTTTAGAGAGCCTCGTAGTTAGAGTCTTGTTATTATTTCTTTTCAGGTTCTTATTTTTTTTACCGCCGGGTCGGCGTAGCGTAGTTTGTGAGCGTCAAGAGCACGCAATTGTAACTTTTTAAGTTGAATAAAAAGGGACTTAAACCCTTAGCAAGACTCTGTCTATTTTCCAGTTTCAACAGTCACCTCTTGGTTTCGTGCAGGTTGGAGGCGCGCAACTCTACAACTTATTTACAATTAAGAAATGTAGTCACAACCGAAAAAAGATTACAAAATTCTAATTTTGTATCAGTTACTCATTGAAAAATTTACACGTATTATATAAGATCTGTCTTTTCTAACATATCTTATTGTATGGATAGAATACTTAATTTACGCAGAAGGGCTATTAATTTCGTCGTTACAACTGTTAAAGCTGGCAGGAACACTCACTGTCTCAAAACCGCAAACCTTAGTTTAAATGCTCACGACTAATTTGCATTCTGGTGAGGAAACGGAAAGGAGAAGTTATAATTGGTCAATTAACATAAGATAACCTACTTATTACTGAATTACTGAATAAAACAACATATATATATATTTGCATTTAATCACCAATGATACAAATTCAAAATTATGTGTACAATCTTTTGCAGATTTTATGTCCTTGCTGATTATGAAGCGTATGTAAAATGCCAAGAAAAAGTTAGTAGAACATATATGGTAAGTAAAATTTTGCTTCAGCTCACATTTTCAAAATTCCTTTAAAAAGGAAAAAAAAAAAATATTTCATTGTTTGATACATAAAATAAAATTTGGTACTTTTCCGTTTTGCCAGCACAAGCGATAAAGTCGCCAATAATGGTACAACCGATGCCAAACGGAATATTCTCGCTGGTAACCTTTTACGCCTCATTTTCAAAACAAGTCGTAGCTTTTTCTTATCAGATTGATTGTTTCTTTCAATACTGGCATAGTATAATTACATAGAATTTTTATCATATAGTTCAGTTTTATGTCTAAGGCCATTTTCGGTAATTAAGTCAATTAGGATGCAATCACAGCTCTTACCCGAAGCCGAAAATATAGAAAAGGTAAAGTCAAGGGTTAAATTCATCAATTCTAATAAGGATACATTAGCGAAGTAAAGCACTGCAGTTTTACATAATTTCTGAGTAAGCTATTCGTACGCATTGAAATATTTCTTGCATTTAAACTTGTGTTCCAAATTAAGATTTAACTTGAAATTAATGTAGATAATTACTGAGAGCATTAGATTTTTGTAGAGTAGTTTACGTGAGATGAGATCGCTTGGGGTCACGTGATATAAAACGGCGAATTAGGATGTTGAACCATGAAAGCATAGTAAATTCTTAAATTAATGTCTTTTACAAATTTATTGTCTTTATTTATTGGCTTTTTATAAAGATTTAAGCGATATTAAAATGTTTATGAAGAAATTAAAAGAATTCTTAGAACTAAAATTTTTTTAATATTTTTTATGTGTATACTGTATGTTGTCGCCAATAAAGTCTGCTTGGCGAGATTTGCGCCGGCGAAACGGAAAAGTACCTAAAATTTATATGTATTGTTTTTCATGATCCGAACTATGATTTCGTTTTGTATTTTTTATTTTTATTTTTTATAACTTTTTTATGTTTACCTTTATGCAAAGGCATGTGAGTAATGCAAATAAATACAATGATTTTTACAATTACTGTCTGGAAATCGCTATTCGGTTAGCAAAGACTTTTGGCAATATTCTTGCCATTTGGAAATATCGAAATATTACAAAAAAACTTATTCATTCCTTTTAAGACACTGTTAAATAGTTTATTACTTCGATTTGAAAAATATTTAAAAAATTCGGCCCATTACATTTTAATGTTGCGTTTATTTTTTTGTTACTATCCTTCTTTTCTTTTCCCCTTTCCAACTAAAATCCCCTAAAGGGATAAACCTAAAGGGAATCATTTTAATTTTGTACACTGGAAATTTTGTCTTCCTGCCCATTAACTGAATTTGAATTAGTTTTCATTTGCACAAGTCACTTTACAGAAGCGCTAATTCTGACATTAACGAATGTACGAACTTAGCTGAAATATTTGATAAAAGATACCGTAATTTTTTTAATAATAAAAAAGAAATTCTTTTAAATTGTCATTTGCTAAATAAAAATTTAAACAGTTGATTATTAACTTTTGATTATTTTTCTCATAATATAACTTACAATTTCGCATTTGATGAATGAATTAATTTTCTTAACCGAGAATTTTCCTGTATAAAAGTTTGCTGTACTAAACAGATCATTTAACTCAACAATTGTGGGGATCATGTATGACTCTTCATCAAAATTTCCAATGAAATCAGCTATCAGATTTAAAAAACATTCATCCATCTCGAGATAGTTAAAACAATGTTTCATAGGGCGCTTTTGCTAAAATGGAAAAAGGACAAGTGTTCATATGCAAAATGATTTGCTCATAATGAGAAGAACTGGTCGTTTTGTCTTTCGAAGCTTACTGAATTCTTTTAATAGAATCAACGCTAGATAAACTTTAAATATTGTCAATTAATTAGCATTCAAGCGGGTATTCATGTTTAGATCCATAAAATATCCTTTAAAACATACCCTTTAAATCATTTTAAAACATTTATATGTATATAAATACATTTTTTAGTACTTGAATTAAAATTTTCTGACATTTATTCATTAGGATGGCAACAAGTGGACAGCAATGGCGATCAAAAACATTGCAAGCGCAGGTTACTTTTCAAGTGATCGAACAATAACCGAATATGCGAAGGATATCTGGGGAATCAAGCCGACGAGGGCGAAGCTCCCGGATCCTCATGAGCCGCAGGAACTGCAGGACAAGAAAAAAAGTCCTAGTGGCCTGAAAATGAAGTGAGAAAAACTAAATGCTCAGAAGGAATGAACTGTTGTTTAGAACATAAGATATATCTTGGCCTTTTTAGGAAACCGTGCTTCATAATATATGTTAGTCTGTTAATGATTTGCGCATTTATACAAATAAAGTTTCAAATTTTATTCAAGAGGTTTTTGATTTCGTTATCTTTTTATGTTTTTGTAATTATCTTTTCAGTATGAAACATGTGATTAATTTTAAAAAATCTGATGGCGGCACCACGTAACTAACTTCCTTGCACAGCCTATTAAATTATACACATTTTTTTCTGCCTTTCATTTAAACTTATTTCTGCGAATTTCATTAGAGATATATCTCTCATTTCAAGTAATTTAGTTCTCACTTCAAGGCAATTCAAAAGTACATAAAAAGTCAAAACATCTTCATTATACTGTAAAATACAGAAAAATATAAAACACCAAATTAAAAAAAAAAATTCTTTTTACAATTAAAATTAGAGTTTCTACCCCAAAACAAGCAATTTGGCAGGATGACAGATTTTTCGGCGCACAAAATTGAAAGTTTACTTTTGGCACTCGGCAAAAAGACGCTGAACTTGGTGCACAAACTGACTTAATTCACTATTCCAATAAGAGTTTCAAATGACGGCCTCGTTAGGCTTAGCATCACTTAAACAACTTTTAAATTGTGGATAATTCTACAACTACTGCACACGGATTAACTAAAGACATAAAAACCTTAACAAAAACATACGAACAATATGATTCAATCGCTTAAGCAAAAAATGCACAATTTCCCAACATATACGAATAAAAAAACTGAGCTCACCAAGCCTGGTTTCCCAACCGATTTTCCTGCTATGCTCACAATAATTGAATTAAATAAATGGAAAACCTGCCTTAACTGCACTACTTTTAATAACTTTGTTAAATTTGAAAATCAACTTTTTAGATAGGTCAGGGGAATCCAAAGTTTTCCAGTATGCAGCATCCAATAATTTATAGTAACAAATGTCGTGGCACTTGCTCCGTTTTGGATGTATAATATGCTAAACTATTCCTTGTTTAATATGGTTGCGTTCTACGGGTTCGTAGATTTGGAGTGATTGATGACAACACTTTATAAAGAATCAAAACACAGTTAATTTGTTAGTATTACACAGCAACACAGTTCTAAAGCAACACAGCCTTCAGGCTATAACAATGAAGATAGCTTCACGGCAGAGCACTAAAGTACAGCTCACGACTCAATCGATCGCTCTTGAGCTAATCTCTGGACTCAAGACACTGCTACTGAGCTCACCTTCGAAAACATTCCCGCGAAATTCGGTAAGAATTCGTTCTAGAATGCTCTCTCACTCCGTCTTGCTCCGTCATATCACTAAACCAAGTGGACGATATCGCGCCAGATCTGCCAACCCTGCCTTTCCTTGCCACATTTTGGCAACCCTAAAGCCGCTTTGCGGGGAAGCTATCTTGCCGCAGCTGGGCTTTTCGTAGTAGTATCTTTTGGAATGGGCCAATAGGTTTTTCTTCATTTTCATCACAATTAATTAGAAATATATATTTTCATATCAGTAATAATTTTACCTACATACTCGTAGTTACCTATATATCTTCTGATGTGTACGTATCTGTTTCTTCTGCTTGTTTTATTGTCAGCCTCACTAGCAAGGGTGACTTCAGCCGATAAAATAATTTTTTATTTGGACAGTTCAATGTACTGGCGGAAACGATACTTACTAAAAAATCTTTGTAACCATATGATATTTTAATAACAAGGTTATCTAACTCCGGGAACTTTTTCCTAATGTCTGTTCTTTCTTTTCTTTCCATTCGTGGCCATTCGATTTTTCTTATCCATTTTAACTAATAATGTACGCAGTATTTTATCAATCGTTATAATTACTAACTCTTTTTCTTATCTTTCATTATCTATCATTATGAATCGTATAATTACTTTAATATTTCTTACTTTCCAACCAACAACTAATGAAGCATTTTTAGGCGTTTGCAGAAATTAAATATACCACACAAACTACTATAAGACACTAATACTTAGCTATTCTGGTTTGTCAAAATTAGCCTGTTTGTTTGTGATCGCAATTTTTGACATACTAATAATACATTTCTTAGGCTCAAATGTTAAAAAGCACAGTGAACACAGATACAAAATCATTATCACCAGCAAACCCGTCTAGTCTTGGTTAGATTACGCATGCGCATTTGATGACAATACTACTATAGTGTAGATAGGTCGATATGTAAGTAGTAAAATGGTAATTCAGTTCAATGTTCAAAATCCCGCGAACGGGCTGGCTGCATGGGCGTTTTCGTGGTTTTTCCCATGTGTAACGTGTATACAAGCCAGTTTCCCTTCGAAAGTTCTCCACGAAGACATTTTTTCCCCTTAGGCAGATAACTCTCGAGACTTTACAGTAATGACATAAACCAAAACGGGCCGATATGTGTAAACAAAAGAATTCATTAGGTAGGCACTAGAATTAATAACAGACATTATGCTTTGGCATTCAATTTTATTTTGAATTTTTATATTATTGGAAAAGAAGATATAGTACTCTTTTACAATTAATTACATAGCGTATTCATAAAATTTTTAATTAAATTTGTACGCATGAAATATCAAAGATGGACTCGGCAGCAAATTTTAATTCATTTTTAGTTTTAGAATATTTAAAAAACCAAAATTTAATGAGCTCTGAAAACACGGGGACTCCTAGTCATTGCCTGATCTTGCCTATCCCTTGCCACTGCCTTGTTTTGTTACTGTGAAAAGTTCTGAACAATACAATATAGAGCATGGAAATCCCTATAAAGATTTTAGACTCTAATGGGCTTTTCAAGTTTGAAAACGAAAAATCAGCGATGCCGTTGTCCGAGCTGGAACTCCTGATCTTCTGAATTCTAGTCAGACGTGTTACCAATGGCGCCACGAAGGCACTCAATGAGAAAGATTTTATTTTTATTTATTAGTCCAAAGGGATTTGAATCCCAAAGGACTATTAGTTTCGTTTTGGCATTTTGCATCGAACTCATAAATGTCGGTTCACTTTTCAACTGTCGCCACAAAATGTTAGAGTCCTGCATTATATTTGAAGAAATTAAATAATGAAAAATCTGCATAAATGTATGTATATTTCTCGTATTGTGATAAAACAACGGTACATAGAGTCATCGAATTTTGAATAACGTAATCCTCCAACGAATATGAGCATGTGGAAGACCAAATTTGAAATTTGAAATTTGTTTTATGATCGATTTCCTATTTTTTAAAACTTTGACGAATTTTTGATTAACAAACTCAAAGATTTCAAAGCGAGCAATGGCAACGTTGTGCAGAAAAACATTTTTATCTCCAACGCGTGAGTCTCTGTATCGGAAGTTCTAAAGATATGCTCGTTTTAAAACTATTTTGCGATATTGCTGTTGCACTGGATCTTATGGTTTAAGTGCGAGGAACATGATATTTAATAAAGAAAGGTAACACACAAAATGTTAAAAAACGCCCCTTTGGACGTAATTTAAAATCTGAAACATTTCAGATTTTGTTTTTGTTATGTTTATTTATTTATTTATTTATTTATTTGATTATGGCAAAACACTCGAGGGCTATTTGCCTAAAGAGTGGGATACCTTCGTCGAGAGCTTTCTAATGAAACCTGTCTCGGTTACACATACGGAAAACACGAAACCGCTCATGCAGCCAGTTCGTTCGCCCGGTTTCGAACCCCGGACCGAAATACCAATCTCACTGAGGAAGAAGAAAACTCCTTATAAGCTTGCATTTCGATCAGAAGTAATTATTAATTATTATGTATTAGTATGTTATATATTCAATCAGGAGTAATCATCACAGACATTATTAGCCCAAAGGGGCGTTAGACCTAAAAGGCTGTTGGTCTCAAAACGTTTCACTTTCTGCGTTGGTTCACTTTTCAAACTGTTGCCACCAACTATTACAGCCATGTATTATGTTTAAAGAAACTAAATAATGAAGAATCTGCATGAATGTACGAATGTTTCTTGCACTGTGAAAAAACAACGGTTCCTAGACTCATCAAATTCTGAATAACGTAGTCCTCCAACCGAAAATGGGCACTTCGAAGCCCGAATTTTGAATGTCGAATTTCTTTTATTATCTATTTTAACTTTTATGAAGCTTTAACGAATTTTTGATTAACAAACTCAACGATTTCAAGGTGAGCAGTGGCAACAGTGTACTGAAAAAAACATTTTCATCTCCACCGCACGAGACTGTATATCGGAAATTCTAAAGATATGCTGTTATTTAAATATTTTGTAATATTGCTGGTGGAGTGAATTTTATGTGGTTTAAGTGCGAAGAACATGATATTTAATAAATAAAAAAAAGTAATGCACATAACGTTAACAAAACGCCCATTTGGGCGTTTTGTTAACGTTATGTGCATTACTTTTTTTTTATTTTATGGCATTTTATGGCGTTAACAAAACGCCCGTTAACGCCATAAAATTTGAAAGCTTTCTGATTTTTTTTTTTTTTTTTTTTTTTTTTTAAAAGCTCAAAAGGGCTTTGTCCTTAAGGGACTATTGTTTTCGTTTTGCGATTTTGCTTGGAATCACTCTGTCCGTTTCACTTTTCAAACTGTTGCCACCAAATATGATCGCTCTCATATTTTGTAAAACTTTAACAAAATTTCGATTAACAAAAATTTGATTTGCTGTTGAACTGAATTTTATGGTTTAAGTGCGAAGAACATGATATTTAATAAATAAAGGTAACAAAGGTAACACACAAAATGTTAAAAAAACCGCCCCTTTGAACGTAATTTAAAATCTGGAACCTTTCAGATTTTCTTTTTTTATACATATTTAATTTATTTTTATTATTTTTCCCCCATTTTTTTCCTATGTACCTCTAAAAAGTTGAAGTACCATTTTTTCCCTACCCTGCTTTATACTATTTCCTATATTCATAATTAAATTTATGTTTTAATAATATGTTTTAAGACAGGTAATTCTATATTTTGAAGATATATCAGGTATGATAAAATAAAAATCCTGTGTATGTCCCATATACTCAGCTGTAAAATCATCAAGTTACGAGTTTTTCCTATTTCATTACTTTATTTTTTTCCGCTTGTGTACATAATGAAGTACTTAAACTATTGTACACTTTTAAAATCAGAACTCTTTGTATAGGTGCTATTCAGTGGATAATTAAATAGGAATTTTAAAAAAGCGGGGCTCTAAAATTTTGTTTTTAAAGCTGACAAATTTAAAATTATGTTGAACATTTATACTATGAAAAGTGAACTATTCACTTAATTCAAACATTCCTTTTTGAATTTTCCCACGTTTCAATTTATTACTTTATTTATAGCATTAATAAATAAAGATTTAGCAAAAACATATCTTGTTAACTTTCACTCTAGAATATTACTACGTCGTAAACGAAACGCAATCTAAATCTTATCTTAGATAATTTATTTCGTATCTCAGACTTGACTGTGTACAATGATTTCGTTACACTACAACGCTGCACACAGTTTTGCTTAGCAAAATGGCTGTAAGTATTGAAGCTATTAAAGAAAACTACAACGCCAACTTGAAAGCAAAGGATTACAACGAGAAATTTAACCGTATCCTACATCTCATAAGAGGAAATTTCGAATTCATTTTGCAGTTTTTGCACGAAGTTGTGCATTCAGGTACGTAACAATCTATTTATTCACTAATAAGCGCTTTGTTGAATTCCTTTTCCGTTAAGGAATATTCGGTGATGGAGAAGATTCAAAGGTGGGTTTAATTAGCATGTTATATGTCCAAATAAAACATTTAATAAAAAATAAACATTTAATTGGTATGTTATATGTCCCATGTACTAAAGCATATTTTTCACCTAATAACTTTTTCATTGATTAGAGGCGATGGGGGAATATTATGTGTATAGAGGTACTTTTCTCATTTTCACCGAAAATACTGAGCATATTTTATCTTACAATAAAATGATGCTCATTTCTATCAGTAATTGATTACATATTTAAGAATTGCTAACAAAAGATAGCACTTGTGGATCCATATAGTCCAACCGAGTACATTTTTTAGATACAAGTTCTTCACAGTATTATAAAGGTTAACTAATATTAGCTTCTATGTTATTAAGGGCTAACCTTTAGGGTAAGCCATTCTGTCTGTTGCCATTTCATGAGGTACAAGATATTTCATTTATCATCCGCTTGGCATAAACATTTCTGATTCTGAAATAATTAAATAGGAATCAGAAGAAAGAAAGCGTGTAAGGCTGCTATCACACATCCATTTGTTTCGGAAGACCAACTGTTTGGAACAATTTTTCTGCTTTGTCACAACAGCCAATCACCACAGATCGCTTTGGGGTTAACACAGGGGAAACTGGTTCTCATTACAAACAAGCTGATAGCTGATTGGTTGAAAACGAACAACTTGCAATTTTTTTCGAAAGGAAAACAATCGCGCGTCTTACCAGTAAATAGTAAACCAGGCAGAAAAAATTGTCCGAAACAGTTGTTCGTGTGAAACAAATGCGTGTGTGATATGGGCCTAAGGTGTATATACCTAAGGAAAAGGACGCTCTTATTGTGGGATATCTAAAGAAACATGGCTGATAGAGCGTTTCATCGTATCGCGAGGTTAGTTAATTGATTAAGACAAAGAAATTCGAGGACTACCTGCTTATGAGGTGAGATGCCTTCCTGTAGGAATTTTTAAGGGAAATTCGCTGCGTTTAATCTACATTGTATATGGGGGATACCACGAAAATCAATCATGTAGCTAGCCCATACGCCGGGATTCGAACTCAGTATTCGATTTTTACCAATGTTCGAACTACCAGGGTTCAATTTTTACCACTCGGCCGTTGGTGGATCCTCGTATCGCGATTGCCATGAATACTGACCCCCGAAACCACGTATTTAGTATCCATGGTTCACAACCAAGGGAAAATTTCCTCTGAAGTTTCAAAATGCGTGCCGAGTAATAAACAACTTATGGCCAAATGTGAAACTCAGCCACGGAAACAAAACAAACATGATATTTCCACAGTAATCACGACTATATATACGTGTGTGCAGTTTACTGAGGGATGTGCTCGTAAATGGAAATGGGAATGAAAATGAGCACTTTGGAACTTCACGTAAGTCCTCAGGTTACAAGTCACTCTTCAGAACCCTGCTTTTATTAATTGAACCTTACCCATGGCGTTTATTAAATGTATTACGCTTAACGCTATGCGCGAGAGTGTGTAAAAATCACATACGATCAAATTTCAAAGCAGAAGAAAGGTTTTTCTTGATGTAAAAATCGGAGATTTATCTAATTGTGAAGAAATTGATGTAATAACTGAAATTATTATAACATTAAAAAAAAAAAAAAAAAAAAAAAAAGAGAGGGAGAAAGATTTTGCCACAGAGTTGAATTTGTATGCCAAAAAATTTTTATTGTGAAATTCTTCGAAAAAGCTGATCGTGAAATATCGAGGAATGGTTCGATAATTGCTGAACTGAGCCAGACTTTCAGTGCTTGAGTGACGTAGATATCGTTTCAAGTGTCAGGAGAACAGAAGAGACAGAGAGCGATACTGAAAATACAGGCGATAAAGATCCTGAAAATTCATCATATCAATTCCTTCCGAGACAGCAATGACTTCTGTCGAAACACTATCGGACTTCGTCGACGAAAGGAGATGTAAATAAAATAATAGTATTTCAAAAAATACGTAATGAAATCTGACAAATATTTAAACGTTTCAAAAACAAAGTAATTACTGATCATTTTTAAGAAGTAAATGCATATAGTATGCGTGAAAATTGGAAACTTTGATTATCCGTTCTTTTCAGTTATCCGTGACCTCCATCCCGGCATTGATCGGATAATTGAGAATACACTATGATCATTTACCGGCCGCTTAACAATGCGTTTTTATTTGCTGAATGCTGTATTTCAAGTAAATAAAAGATAAAGTGCTTAATCCTATCATTGATGACGATGATTGGTTAAATGTCATTTCATGCATGCTAAACGTCATTGCTTAGAAATCAAATATTTGGATTTGGTGATGCAAAACCGTTTTCGGATACGTCATGTGTTTAAAAGCAGGGGGAAATGAAATCGTAGCTTTTAAATTTGCCCTTAATAATAAATTTTAACTCTTTTCTTGTACCTTCACTGTATTTTTTTATGGAATTTTTTGCTTAAGATAGCAACGGAACTGAAACATTAGTTAAGTACTTAAGTTTGTTAAAGCCTTGATATATGCAAGGTGATTCACTACCAGACCGACAAACTTGCAAGGTGTGTAGGGGGGTACAGATACGACTCGGAATCACATAGCACAGTAGCAAATGCCGTAGTTGCGAGCTATAGTGCAAAAAAGCAGAGAAAAAGAACAGAAAAAGCAACACAATGGGATAGAAAACATTTAAGGTTGTACTACAAGAGGTGTTCGAAATTACAACCAGAAGTCATCGTGCAAACCTGAAAGCGGCTCTGCATGGAATTCCTTACGTTCTGGAAGATTCCTGACATCTACAGATATTCGAGCGACGAGGTCTTCAATTGAAGGAACAGGCATTTCGTACACCAAACTCTTCATGTGATCCCAGAAGAAGAAGTCCATGCATGATATTTCCGGTGATCTAGCAAGCCATTGAACTGAGTCACCATGAACTATCCACCCCAGTCCAAAGGTTACGTCGAGGTGTCGTATAATGTGGAGGTACCCCATCATGCTGGTGTTAAATAGCTTAAGTTCACGCCGGGAAATAATGTTATGAATCTTACTTCACGGCACCAATGTTATATCTTAAATTCCTATATTGTTAAATGTTAAATATGAAACTACTTGCCGTTAAAGGGAGTGATCGTATAGTGAAACGTGTACAGCATTTTTGCGTTGTGAAAAAAATGCATTCCGGGACCGCGCCGTGAGAGGATCGAAAACATAAAACATATACAAGATATAAAGGAAAAGTTCATATTAAATATATAAAAAAAACATACTGTAGAGGTTCCAGATTCCAGAAAATATCAGTTTATTCAATTACAACACAATAAGAAAAATCTTAACCTCATCTGAGAGTCTGTTCATTTAAATTCATAAAAAAACTTAAGGTTTGTCTGGTGATTTAAAAGAACGGAAAGGGAAACAATTTAAGGCCTGAGAGTTAAATTTTAGATTCGACGTTGTTTTTTTTTTTACTGCTAAGGACGTTTTTTGAAAAAACTTGCCTAGGGTTTCAAACACACCAAAAAAAAAAAAAAAAAAAAAATACACTTAGCTTGAGGGGACATCTTGAAGCGGAGGACTCTTATCTTATCAAGAGTTGATGTCGGCCGGGCTCATCTTGACACAGGTTCTAAAAATGTAGACTCCACTTCACTACTGTAGAACAGAAACAGGAGCACTGCTGCCCAGAGCGGCTATCCGCTTGGTCCTGAAAGTCCTATGTCCACACGCAGGTAACTCGTTCAAATTTCGCCTCTTTACCAGCACGCCGCAAGGAAGAGGGTTTTCAGGCTCAGGTCAGAAACGTTTTTTTTCTAGGCCATTTCAGCTCGCCTGTTCTTACTCATCCCAAGAGCAAGCTTCACGAGTAACGACCCAAGTAAATTCCACCCACCAGTCAGTAAGGGAGAGAGTCCAACTCCAATTTTCTTCAAGCCAGTTTTCAAGAGCAACGTCCACAAGACCAGCAACCCGAAAGTCAGCGAATCCAAGCGTGAGTGCCTAAGCGAGTCCAAGAGTAAGTGTGTAAGAGAGTCTCGCCTCTTAACCAAAACGCGGCCGGGGAGCATATTTGCCGCTCCCCGCCGGAAAACAACCTCTCGGAGTCACTTACATTTGTCCAGCAAGCCCAAAAATCAGCGAGTCAGTCCGAGAGTCAGCCAAAAGTAAGTGTGTCCAACTCAAATTTCCTTTTGTCCTTCACCAAACGGGCTCCAACTATGGCTTCACTTATCGCCCCCTTAATTATGGGCAAAAATCTTCGTTTTTCAACTCCAGAATGCGGAAAATAAGGGTGATCGCGCATGCGCGCCCTTCTTCACTTAGCCAACAACCGGACCCTCAATCGCCAAAACCTGAATGACTTACATTGAAAGACAAGTAGCAACCTTTGACCTTTCCGTCACGTACTTTCCTCTCTTAAGGTCAACTAACAATGAAAATTCTTTCTCGAACATTCTAAAGCGCGCGAAATCATGACTTGGCGAAAATTGCCTCCCTTTCCCCGCTTCTTTCACAATGAATAAAAGTTTGTACATGATTTGCAAATAGAGGAAGAAAATAAATAATACTCTCTTTAAACTAATACCAAATAATATTTCCCAGAAGCATCTGTCTTCTCCCCAAAATTAAAGCCTTAAACTAAATAATTCAGAATCAAATACAAAATTAAGATTTCCATAAATCATAAAATCATTCACCTAATTTTTATAACGCTATCAGATAATTTCTCTACATAACACTGGTACCACATGGGCCGACACCCGCCCTGTCATGGATAGACTTCTTATTATGGGGTCACGAAAAGAGTTTCGTGTACGAGACGCGCTTTCCTTCAGTTGAAGACCTTGTCGTTGCAATATCTGTAGCTACCGGGAGGATACATGATATGCTAGGAATCTTCCAGAACGTAAGGAATTCCATGCAGCGCCGCTTTCAGGCCTGCCA